TTAATCGAGTTCGGTAATTGCACTGAGTCAATCTCGGTGCGAGAAAGTGCATCAGCTACCTGATTATCAACGCCTCGAATATGGCGTATGTCGGAGGTAAACTGTGACACGTAATCGAGTTGCCGCGCTTCCCTAGGGGAATGTCGATCGGGCGATGTCTTGAGCGCAAAGGTAAGAGGCTTGTGGTCTGTAAAAACAAAAAAATCACGCCCCTCTAAGAAGTATCGGAAATGGCGTATTCCGAGGTAAATGGCTAGCAGCTCTCGACCAAAGGTACTATACCTAGTCTCGGGAGGCTTGAGGCGGCGAGAAAAGAACGCAAGCGGTCGCCACTCCCCTTCATGGAGTTGCTGTAACACACCACCTACGGCGAGATCGGAAGCGTCTACCGCGAGGCTTGTAGGTAGCTCAACAGACGGGTATGTAAGCATCGTGACGTTCGCGAGGTCCTCTTTGACAGCCGCGAAAGCAGAGTCGCACACAGGGGACCAATCTAACGCCTTTCGAGAGCGCTTAGGTTGCTTGCGCAGCAAATCAGTCAAGGCGGCCAGCGAGGATGCGCACTTAGGCATAAATCGGCGGTAAAAATTAACCATGCCTAAGAACCGGCGCAGCTGGCGTAGCGAGGTAGGGCGCGGAAATTTGCGAATTACCGCGACCTTGTCATCCATCGGGGAGACGCCCTGGGCAGTCACATGGTGCCCTAGAAAGTCTAGTGCTTCGACTCCAAACTGGCATTTGTCAGGATGCACTACTACTCCATAATCACGGAGGCTTGTGAACAGCTGGCGCAAATGAGTCTCGTGCTGTTCGGGATTCTCGCTGGCAACAAGAATATCATCAAGATACACGAATACAAATGGCAGGTCACGGACGACCCTATCAATAAACCTTTGAAAGGTTTGCGCCGCGTTGCGTAGTCCGAATGGCATGCGTCGGAAATGGAATAACCCAAAAGGGGTTGTCAGCGCGGTCTTCTTCACATCATCAGGGTGTACGGGGATCTGATGATATGCGCGCACTAAGTCAACTTTGGAAAATACGCACTTGTCTCGCAACTGTGCGGCAAAGTCGTGAAGGTGCGGAATGGGATAGCGATCCGGGACGGTCACGCGATTAAGAGCGCGGTAATCGCCACATGGTCGCCAACCGCCTGACTTCTTTGGCACCATGTGGAGCGGCGACGCCCATGAACTGTCTGAGGGCTCGACAATGCCCAAATCGAGTAACCGGCCAAACTCGTCTTTAGCGATCTTGTGTTTGTCCGGCGCTAAGCGTCGAGGTCGTGCCGAAACTGGTGGGCCGGTTGTGAGTATTCTATGTGTGACGTCATGTTTCAACGGACAGTTCTTAAACATGGGCCGAGTTACTTCCGTGAACTCGGCAAGTAAGCGTTTGTAGACAGAATCGGAGTCTACTTGCACTATTGTGAGATTCAGCGACGGTAAGTCGGAGGCGATGCCATGTACGGACAGACTAGTGGTGGCATCCCAAAGTCGGTTGGTGCGCAAATCCACTAGTAAGCCGTAATGCCTCAAAAAATCTGCGCCGAGGATAGGCTGCGAAACATCGGCCAATATGAATGACCACTTAAACGAACGCCGCAGCCCAATACACACTGTGAGCTCACGCTGCCCATATGTGCATATGCGCGTCTTGTTTGCAGCCTGCAAAACGAGTGGCATAAGGTGCCTCTTATCAGCGGTGTTGGGGGGAATTACGCTTACCGCGGCACCCGTATCGACCAAAAATCGTGTCCCAGAATCTCTATCTGTGACATAGAACAAGCGACCGTCACGAAGAGGGCCAGTGAGGGGTGTCGCGCCCACCTCCTGGCCTAGTTGTTTTCCGCCGGCTTGCTATATGTGCATGGCGGGCGGCACTGGTGAGCCTTGTCACCCCACTTCTCATGATACCAGCAAACTTCAGAAGTGCTCGCTGATTTATAGCCGGATGAGTCGCGCTTCCTGTTGCTGCTCATGCTGCTGCTTCGGTTCCGCATGCAACCGATAGTGGCGGTCAATTCCTTGACCAATTTCGTGAGCGCAGCAACTTGGTGCTGAAGAGTGGGTTCAGTCATGACGCCGCGCCACGTCCACTGTTCACACAACTAAATTCAATGTATCAGTAAGAAATGTGATTATCTAATGGTAAAAAAAAAAATTAATAAGCAAAGGTAATCTAACTAAATGTTTATCTCAGGGGGATCACGTCGGGGTCACCAATTTAGAAAACTACATGGGGTATGGACTATGTTGCGTGTTAACTAGTAATCCCACATAATTCCCTTTTTTAATTAAACTACTAAAAAGCAGTATCCCTCCAGACAAGAAAACACTTAATAAATGATCACATCCAGACAAATTGATTATGGTTAAAAACTGGTTCTATATTCTATAATTTCACATAAGATACAATGATTACAGAATTATCAGAAACCTCTTCTGTCTATCTCAACAGTGACAGACAATTAAACTATCACTAGGCCCTTGGTAGTTACTATTAATAATCAAACATAGATAACTTCCAACAGCACATTAATGTAAAGGAGACTCAACTTAGTCACTATGGTATTAATGATTACCGCTGAATACAAGTCTCGAAACATCAGGAGTCTAGCTGTTCAGTACAACTTAAAACAGTACTAAAACAAGTCAGTTAAATATCATTCACACTGCATGAATAATAACAGTCAAGAAAATACTACTCAAATCTAAGCTAGACAGCGTTTAGATTTACTTACATAGGCACGAAATATTGGGGTTCAAGAAACCACTAAACAAATCTCTACTTGTGTATGTGTACGGAATACACAATACGAGAATACAACAATATATCGGTGGATCTAGACTATAGCAGATCTAGATCAGTAGACCAGGTACAGGCCTAGAACTAGTGCAATTATAAACATGTAAAATATGTGTTAGTAAGCGTACGCACTCAACAACAGGCACTCAGTCAGTCAAAATAAGGCATCACAATGATAAACAATGCAAAGCATCAATCACAATATAATTAACGTTACGTGAGTCATTGGAGTTGAATTCAGAGTAGATCTTCTTCAAGTTCTAGATAGATGTAGAAACTAGCTAGTCGAAAACGGTGGTCGATGAGCTGGTTGTCGATCGCGTAGGATATGCAGACGATGATCGACGCTAGGTGAATACCACGATGATGAAGACGATGTTGAAGACAACGATGATGACAACAATGATGAAGACGACGCTGGTGAAGACAGCGATGATGAAGTCGACGATGAAGACGATGCTGGTGAAGACAGCGATGATGAAGACAACGGTGATGAAGACAACGATGATGAATCAGTTAACAGATGAATACAATGATGATGCAGTCAATGTCAATAGATCAACTTCAGTGACTTGCGATGCAGGTCGACCCAGGACCAAAATCCAGTTGAAACCAATTGGAGCAAAACCAATTGAAACCAGTTGCCAACTGGTTTCAATAGGGAAATTGGAACAACTGGTTCCAATTGAAACCAGTTGCTAACTGGTTCCAATTGAAACCAGTTGAAACCAATTGCCAACTGGTTCCAATTGAAACCAGTTGAGACCAATTGCCAACTGGTTCCAGTTGCCTTATTGGTTTCAACTGGAACCAGTTGTTCCAATTTCCCTATTGAAACCAGTTGGCTTCAATTGGTTTCAACTGGTTTCAATTGGTTTCAATTGGATCCAATTGAAACTTACAGTTGGCATAAACTTAATTAGTTATAAGTTAATTAGCTCTTGCACTAATTATCGCTCATGTCAACACAGAAGTATTGTTATATGTGTCTACATTAAGTACAATGTAAAGGGCATTATAATATGCAGATCATATAATATACATAACAAGGAAGGCATTGGTTATATATGTTTGTATTTGATGTATTTTGTACATGGTTAGTGTTTTACTAATCAACTTTTAATCTGTGTAATTAAACAAATATGTTACTAATGAACATGCTCATCATTGCTAATTATTCTTTATATTTATCTAAAACAAATGCATTACTTGCAAATAAAAATTAATCAATAAATACATTGTAAATCAACATAAATTACATAAAACATTGATCTGCACACAAGCAGATAATATGCAAATTAACTGGTTTCAATTGGATCCAGTTGGGTAACTGGAAATATTTTCCAATTGGAACCAGTTGGGTAACTGGAAATGACTTCTAACTGGAACCAATTGGGTAACTGGAAATGAATTCTAACTGGAACCAGTTGGGTAACTGGAAATGAGTTCTAACTGGAAATGAATTCTAACTGGAACCAGTTGGGTAACTGAAAATGAATGCTATAACTGGAACCAGTTGGGTAACTGTAAATGAATTCTAACTGGAACCAATTGGGTAACTGGAAATGAATTCTAACTGGAACCAGTTGGGAAACTGGAAATGAATTCTAACTGGAACCAGTTGGGTAACTGGAAATGAGTTCTAACTGGAAATGAATTCTAACTGGAACCAATTGGGTAACTGGACATGAATTCTAACTGGAACCAGTTGGGTAACTGGAAATGAATTCTAACTGGAACCAGTTGGGTAACTGGAAATGAATTATAACTGGAACCAATTGGGTAACTGGAAATGAATTTTAACTGGAACCAGTTGGGTAACTGGAAATGAATTCTAACTGGAACCAGTTGGGTAACTGGAAATGACTTCTAACTGGAAATTAATGCTAACTGGAACCAGTTGGGTAACTGGAAATGAATTCTAACTGGAACCAATTGAGTGACAGGAAAATCATCTTATTGTTTCCAGTTGAACTTCTAACTGGAACCAGTTGGGTAACTGGAAATGACTTCTAACTGGAACTGTGGGAATATCTAATAACGTCTTTATACAAGACTATATATTTTGCAACGTTGAAACGACGACACGAAGTGAAAGTAAAACATAACCAAATCGTACTACCCTTTTGTGTCCATTCTCCTTTTGTCGTCTGAATAATACTACATGGTGGCAGCGGTATAAGTGAAGAACCATGGAAAGTTCTCGTCTACCATTGCCAGAAAGCTTTGATAAAGTTGCAGGCTTAAATCAAGCAGAACAATGGCCAAAATGGTCACGGCGGTTCGAGAGATATCGCGTCGTATCGGGCCTCGCATCCAAGCCAGACAGTGAGCAGGTTAGTACGCTACTCTATGCTATGGGTGAATGTGCCGATGATATTATCGTGTCTCTCAATGTGAAAGAGGAGACAGCAAAGTATGATGACGTGATCGCAACATTGAAGAAGTATTTCAATGTACGGAAAAACATTATTGTTGAAAGGGCAAAATTCAACAAACGAACACAACGCCCGGGAGAAAGTGTGGACACATTTATCAATGATTTGTACAGGCTAGCAGAGGACTGTGACTACGATAGACTTAAGGAGGGCTTGATAAGAGACAGAATTGTAGTTGGGGTGCTTGATGACTCCCTATCTGATCAACTACAGTCTAGAGAAGACCTAACTCTCTCAAAAGCAGTTCAATTGAGTAGACAGTCAGAAGCCCGGAAACAAAACAAGTCTGTTGTGAGGGGAGGTGCAGAGAGTGAGAGCCCTAACTCGGCCGTAAACTACATAAGGCCTAAGAGCAAGGGAACGTACTCGAAGAAAACATCTCAAACTCCGCAGGGTAACTGTAAGTGGTGTGGAAGGCAGAATCATGCACGTGCCAGCTGTCCCGCAAAAGATGCAAAGTGCCATCAATGTGGAAAGATGGGCCACTTCCAGTCTGTGTGTCAAGCCAAACAACCAGAACAGGGAAAACAAGAGGCAGCAAAGCTAAAATGGAAAGCTCGAGTCAGCGAAGTAGATGATTTCGATGACATTGATGTCCCCTTCCTTGGTGAAGTCAGCGAGAACGATCAGACGTACTGGAGTTCATCGATCCTCGTAGATGGGAATGAAACACACTTCAAGTTAGACACAGGAGCAGCCGTTACTGTGTTGTCTGATTCCACTCCATGGCTGAATAAACACATCATGAGACCAACAACCAAGAGGTTACGTGGTCCAGGAAGTACAGTCCTGACTGTAATAGGACAAATGACATCAACTCTCAGGCATAGAGATAAACAGATCAAGGAGACTCTCTATGTGGTCAAAGATCAGGAGTCTTCATTGCTGAGTAGGAAAGCGTGTAGAACCTTGAATCTAGTCCGCAGAGTGGAGGAAGTCGATTCTTGTGATGATGAAACTGCAAACTTCAAGGCTGAGTTCCCTCAACTTTTCACTGGTTTGGGGAAACTGAAGACAGCATACCACATCATGTTAACTTCAGATGCCAAGCCGATGTGCCTGTATACAGCCAGGAAAGTTCCTCATCCGCTTCTACCGAAGGTGAAGAAAGAACTAGAGTCCATGTTGGAGCAAAATGTGATCTCAAAAGTGACTGAGCCGACAAAGTGGTGTTCGGGGATGGTTCCAGTGTTGAAGCCCAGTGGTTCGGTGAGAATTTGTGTAGACCTTACATCTCTCAACAAGGCAGTTGAACGAGAGATTCATCCGATGTCTTCAGTCGATGAAAGTCTAGCAAAACTGGGAAAGAGCACAATCTTCACAAAACTGGACGCCAACAGCGGGTTTTGGCAAATTCCATTGGAGGATGAGTCAAAGCTACTGACAACCTTTGTCACTCCATTTGGGAGATTTTGCTTCAACCGATTGCCGTTCGGGATAACGTCAGCGCCAGAAGTCTTCCAGAGAGCGATGTCCACTATCCTCGAAGGACTTGACGGCGTGATTTGTCACATGGATGATGTGCTAGTCCATGGTGCAACACAAACAGAACATGACATCAGAGTACGGGCTGTTCTACAACGTCTGCAGGAAGCAGGTATCACACTAAATCAGGGAAAGTGTGAATTCTCCAAACAGAGTGTGAAGTTCTTAGGGCACTTCATCGACGACACTGGTGTCAAGGTCGATCCGAGCAAAACAAGAGCTATTCGAGATTTTCCAGTTCCTCGAAGCGTGAAAGAGCTACAGAGGTTCATGGGAATGGTGAACCAGGTGGGAAAGTTTCTCCCAGGATTAGCTGAGATCAACGAGCCCCTTCGTCAACTCCTGAAGAAAGACAATGTGTGGTGTTGGGGAGAAGCGCAGCAGAGATCTTTCACACAGATCAAAGAAATGATGGTCTCGACAGCAGTCTTAGCTCATTATGATCCAGAACTGCCAACAGTCATTGCAGCAGATGCATCCGGGACTGGAATGGGTGCAATCCTGTATCAAGTGCAGACTGATGGAAATCGTAGACCAGTGTGCTATGCATCTCGATCGCTTACCGAGACTGAGCAGAGGTATGCAGTGATTGAAAAAGAGGCACTGGCAGCTACTTGGGCGTGCGAGAGGTTCTCCGAGTATGTACTTGGTCTTCATTTCGAGGTGGAAACTGACCACAAGCCATTGGTCACACTTCTAAACTCGAAAGAACTTGTGAAAATGCCTCCACGACTCCAACGCTTCAGAATGAGAATGATGAGATTTGATGCAGAGACATTGTATGTTCCAGGAAAACAGCAGACATCCGCTGACGCCTTGTCACGAGCGCCAGTAGAGAGGCCAGGAATGGATGATGTCAACTTCGTAGATGAGGTTGAATCATATGCATCAACATCAGCCATCAACCTCCCAGTGACAATGCAGAGATTTGAGGAAATCAGAAATGCACAAAAAGCAGATGAAGTATGTGCAAAAATCAGAGACTACTGCGTTCAAGGATGGCCAGACTACATGCCACATAACCCGATCCTCAAACACTACTATGAGCAGAGAGGACACCTGAGTGTGGTAGAGGACTTGCTTATCTACGACGAGAGAATAGTCATTCCGAGAGCTCTGCGACTTGATATCCTTGAGAGGCTACATCAAGGACATCTGGGAATTACCAAATGCAGAGCCAGAGCCAGAGATTCAGTGTGGTGGCCAGGTCTATCAAAATCATTGGAGGAAATGATTTCAAGCTGCTTGACCTGTGCTATCCATCGCCAAGAGGTCCGCGAGCCTTTGATGAGCTCATCCTTTCCTTCAAGGCCATGGGAGCGTCTTGGAATGGACCTGTTCGAACTCAAAGGGAAATCGTTCCTGATAGTAGTTGACTACTACTCGAGGTGGATTGAGGTCAAACAACTCCAAGGTCAGTCAACAATGGCAGTGATTTCTTCGCTGAAGGAGATCTTTGCAGTCCATGGGATTCCAGACCTTGTGGTTTCAGACAATGGTCCACAGTTCGCCAACGAGAACTTCAGAAAGCTTGCTGAAGAGTATGGATTCGTCCATACAACCAGCTCTCCAAGATACCCACAAGCTAATGGTGAGGCTGAAAGAGGAGTTCGCACTGTGAAAGCGTTGCTGAAGAAGAACGACGACATCCAGTTAGCCCTTCTCAGCTATCGAGCGTCACCACTCCAAAACGGGTTAGCTCCTTGTGAACTTCTCATGGGGAGGAGATTGCAGACTCAGGTTCCTACTTTGCCGCACATGCTGCTGCCACGGGTACAACAGCCGGACCTGACGACTGTGAGAGAGAAAGAGGAGAAGTACAGGTCAGATCAAATGATGACCTACAACAGACGTCATGACTCACGTGAGCTTCCAGAGCTACAACCAGGAGATTCCGTGTGGATCCGTGATCAGTCTCGCTACGGGAAAGTCACCCAGAAAGCGCAACAACCACGGTCCTACCATGTCCAGACAGAACATGGGACAGTACGTCGTAATCGCCGTGCACTGATTGCTGTCCAAGGTCAACCCACCAAGACCAGAGTGCCGGAGTCATCCATGAGCAACGATCCAGAGAGACCTGACGATTCTGATGAAAGCGACTCAACCGGTTCCCAACGTAACCAGCAGATCAACCGGAAGCAGCCTGAGGGAGCCTCTACACCAACAGCTGCGACAGAGACGCGAACGCGATCTGGACGACTCGTGAAACCACCAAAGCGACTGTCCATGTAATGGGTTAAACTTAAATACCAAAATTGGGATTACCTTTGCAGGAACTGAAACTGAACAAGACTTTAAAGGTTTGGACAGTGTTTATTTGGGTTTAATAGTAAACTGGAATGGACTCGGGACTCGAAGAACACAATTAAGGAGAATATCCGTGAACTCTTAAACAGGATTATATTTCGGATTTTTATTGGATTTGAAACTATTTGGAAATCAATAAGAACTCTTGAACTGTTGATAATAAGCTTGGGGGGAGATGTGGGAATATCTAATAACGTCTTTATACAAGACTATATATTTTGCAACGTTGAAACGACGACACGAAGTGAAAGTAAAACATAACCAAATCGTACTACCCTTTTGTGTCCATTCTCCTTTTGTCGTCTGAATAATACTACAGGAACCAATTGAGTAACTGGAAAAATTATCTTACTGGTTCCAGTTGCACTTCTTATTGGTTTGAACTGGAAATGAGTACCCATTTCCAGTTCGGCAATTGGTTTCAACTGGAAATTTTCTATTCCAATTGAAACCAATTGAAACCAATTGAAACCAGTTGAAACCAATTGAAACCAGTTGGAGATTTCAACTGGTTTCAATTGGATTTTGGTCCTGGGGAAGAATCAAATGTCGAGACAATATATATGAAGTCGATGATAAAAGGTTGTCAAACAATAATGCAGGTGAGAAAAACGTTAGATCATATTAAATGTTCTATTCTCACTGCTGGTGAATTAAAGTGTCGTCAATGCTGAACATCGAGAGAGTCAAAATATATCTTGCAAAACGTACAAAATGTAAATAGGTGAGCACGTCCACCGGGAATGGTCCGGGGACGTAGCAGTTCAATCCTCGTTGGATACAATTTTCTAGGTACAATCATCAACACAATAACAGCATGTGTGTATACCAATATTAAAACAGCTCACTGATTCCCGCACAGGAAAATCAGAAGAGCGCCAATCAACTACAGCGCGATTGGTTCAAAACAAGCGCACATGTATGTTAATAAGGCACGTGATCTAAATACTTATGAATAAATACGCGTACATCTATGTTAATTGGTCATGTGATCAAAATACTAATGAATAAACATCGTTATATAATAAATCGAGTTAAAACCAGTTCTGAGGACATGGCGTAATACCAAATCCTCGAACTCTCAATGACTTCTAAAGCGGCCATTTTGGATTAAAAACACAATATGTATACCAGTGAATTATAAATGAATGCACTGTAACATTTGTCGCTACAGATCCAAGTAATAGTCATAATTTTCAGTCTGAATCATGAAGATAATGTATGGTGGAATCCAGAATCCACACCCGACCCTACTTCTGTGATAATGTGACGTCATCTTCATTACATAATCACGTGTCCAATATTTTAAAAAGTGAAACTGACCTTGAACAATGTAAATCTTTAATAACCTTTTAATTGAATATAATCTTGACAGGAAATTTAGTAGTAAATCAAGTCTTTATTAGAGATCATGTACACACAAAAACCAGGCCCGTCAACCCAGTGGGTTAGGCGGCAGGTTATAATGAACAATATATACAATAACAAAGTACATTAAAGGGATCGTTTAACAATGTTAAATCTGAGATACACGGCCCTACGTGTTATCAGTGTATGTGATATGGTGTAATATTGAAGCCCTAAAAAAATTGCGCTTCAAAACGATCAAGAAGTGCTTCAAAAAAGTAAAAATCTTTGAGTGACCGGTTTTACCATACTCGTTTTACCCAATAGACTGTAGTGTTATGAAAACCGTCAGGCGAACGGTTTTCAAAATTTGTAATTTCAATCATAAATATCTTGATAATCAGACAGGCGATCGGCTTGTAAAAGTCATGGGGTTCCTGGCTGACCTAAAGGTTTATAATTATCATTGCATCATGAGCTAAATCCAGAATTTTATTTCAGAATCTGAGACAAAGTTACCGGATCCCTTTAACAATAACGATACAAGTTACAGTGTAATAGTATATGTGATAACAAGGAGCACCGGGATAGAGAAAAAGGGAAAAGGAAGATGTGAAAAGGAGAAAAGGAGAAAGGAGAAAAGGAGAAAAGTAGAAAACATTATGATGAGGAAGGAAAAATTCCCCCATACATGATACATAAATGAATAGTGTATAATTGAATCGAGATAAATTACGTATTACGGTAAATATTGTCATTTTGGTACAGAATGGTTACAAGTTCATTGATAAACAGGAAATTATGAAAAATTAATGTATATAGATTGATAAATTAAAGGTATTGATCAAATTGCCATGCTGGCTCACGTCTTCCTTGGAATATAACATAAGAACTAGAAAGAACGGCCTTCACTATTTCGTCCCTGGATTCCGGGTACCTAGTTGAGTTAGTGATTTTGAGGATTTCCTTTAGGCGGTATTTATTTTGTGGGGTTATGAGTCCACGTGAACCGATTTCAATACAGATTAGTTTGCTCTTCCACCCTGTTGATGTTATGTCGTGTGTGAGTTTTGTGTATTTGTCTTGTTTTCGTTGATGTGCTTTGTCAATGTTTGTTTCGAAGGGGACTGTGAGTTCGATGATGATAATGTCCTTATTTGTGTTGTCAATGTGGCAGATGTCTGGTTTGTGTTGGGTACGTATTATGTTTGGTGGTATGGTGCCCCCATTGATGCTTTCTCCTTCTATGTCTGCATATACTTTGGTGGAATTGTTTGAAGTGTTTTTAATATTATCTCTCGTGCGCATATGCAAATGAGGATTAAACGCCACTTTATTAATAATACGCACAATTACAAGCGCACCAAATTATGAGCGCAGGCGCGGCCAATGGGATGAGAGAAAAGATACAACAAAAGATAACACAAAAGTTACAACAATGTTCAGAATACCAACTTTATCTTATCTTCAAAGATGCAACAATATTAGAGATAACACAGGGTTCAGAATACCGCCCCAGAACCTTACACACCAAGATAATCAACATTTTCTAATCGATTCCACACCGTTTTCTTTCACAATGAAATGAAATCACATGACCAAAACTCAGCTTTATCTTTAACATGGCAAATAATCCCACAAAAAATTTACTTTAATATCGCTTACATTTTTAAATAGCACCCTCTCATTTCTTTAAAGTGATACCTTATAGTATATTCCACATACTAAGAATCTTGCTCTACGATTGGTCAAAAGTAAATCACGTGATGAAAGATAGTTCGCCCATCATTGATGGGAGAAGAAAAATTCGTTGCACTGTTTTGTACTATCTACACAGTGCAACGCACTTTTACTGAAGATAGAAGTACTATCTACACAGTGCAACGCACTTTAATTGTATACGAAGAAGTGAAATGTTTCCGATGTGGAATATAAAGCAAATAATCACCTTTTGGTTTCAAGCGATGGCAAACTATCACTTCCTCGGCGATCTGAATGTATACGCGTTCTTTCCTCAGCTTCGCTTCGGAAAGATAGCTACATCCAGATCGCCTCGGAAGTAACGATAGTTTGTCATTACCTTCACCAACGGTAATTATTTGCTTATTATCTCCTTCCCATTCATCCTTTCCACAAGGCACCCCTCTTTTTCCTGTTCCTCTCGTTCTCTTACCTTCTCGACACCATTTACCCTTTTAATCGTTTCTGGTCTCTCGATCTCTCTCTTTCAATCGTTCTCCTTCCCCAGTCCCTCAATTCCCCCTCTCTCTCGCTTTACTATGTACTTCACAGCTCCTCCATTATCTTTTCTCTCTATAGATCACGCAATCTTTTTTGCGGAACAAACATGAATAATTGCATGTTGATGGCAATGAAAGATCTCCATAATTTTTAACCAGTCATTCTCTTGGGGTTTCAAATGCTGAAAATAAATCCACAACCTCGAAATCAACTCCGATCTCACACTGACCTCACTTGATACATTAATGAGAACACCATTCACTCGTTAATTGTTCTTGCGGGAAAAAAGAAGCAGTATTTAATTATAGATCTACATGTCCATCGATAATAATTGATAAAACTATGCACTGTCATATCACAATTACACATTTGTCCCCTTTTTCATGAAAAGATAATTTGTAGCTTTAGATTAGAGTAAGTTAGCGTCCTCTCAAAAAACATCGTCATCAGCTTTAATGGGGAATGAATGCGACTGTTCACGTGAAAGTGAGAGATACCACTCAAATTCACGTTCATACCGAACCCGCATGATTGACAATCAATTAAAAAAGCCAAATGTTATAGTCATACTGAAAATATTTGTTTAAATCATATAATACTCTGTATATCTTCCGTTTAAATGTTTTTCCTATGTAAACTATAATGTATATACTTTTTGTTGGGGGTGTGGGTGTTAAGGTAGATTAAGTTTAAATTCTCTTGACTATTCTTTGTAATGTCTGCTACATGTCAAATTTAAAATGCAAAAGAACATACATGGAAAATGTTTGTCTACTTAGTATTTCAACTGTGAACGATGCACCCATCAAACAAGAAATATTTTATACATAGAAAATATACAACCGTAACATTTCTCTTAAATAATCAATACATTAGACTACTATGACATGTACACATTGTCACAATACATAAAACCAATGAGCTTTATATAATGATTTTGGGAATGAGGAGTTTTCTTGAATTCATGGAATGTATGTTTAAGGTTGTGATTTTCACATCTTTCGACCAATTCAAATTTGTAAATGTTTTCTGGAAACTATATATGGTCAGGTTATTACTTACTTCGTATAATCAATCATTTTGTTGTTGTTGATTATCCAGTAATTAATATCACTTTGTATTCATTCATATCATTTGACATGAATTACTCAAATTTTACCAATATCTAGAAGAGTTAAAAAACGTGAATAAGATCACAAATACTGAAAGTATGCGTCCAGAACACCAAACATTGCCAAGGATAGAAGAGAAATCTATGTACATCCCTTTTCAAGCATTTCCAAGAATTAAAACAAAAATGCACAGCATGCAATGACAGGTTTAATAATTCATTATTTGTTATCTCAACAAACGAGTCTTCTATTCCTGCTACTCCTCAGTGTACACTTTGAAAGTCATTCTTTGAAAGTCCTATACTGTATATACAAATAATTTAATAGTAGAATTCAAGGTTACTAAAATAGTTCAACGATTACTCACTGCATTCTAAATTTCTAAAAGATTTTTGAAAATCAACCCACTGTAATTTCCAAAGCGTTGTCCATCATCCATTGTAATATGCAAAATTTATAACATATACAGCTTTCAAAGCTGGTATTCCTGTATTTTACCAATACTGTAATTGAATATGATTATTTCTTTTTTTGTAAACAGATCTGTAAACTTTTACCAGTGAAAAACAAATTTCTGAATGGATAATGAATACTTGATTTCAATTTCATTTTTTCTTAATTTCATCCACACTTGGTCCCTATAAGAAAAACAGTAGGGCACTGAAATTTTTGTGGAGTTGATTTCTCAAAATTCTCTGCAAGCTTTTCTTATTTCATTCAACAGACTACATAAAGAATTCTCCTACGATTTTGAAGATCTTCACATCCCAAAAATTGGTATTTGTTTATATAGTATATTCATCATTTGATGCAGAAACCACATCTACATAGCTTCCAGGCGCTGCTGCATGTCCAACGTTCAAATCCTTATCGGAATTGCATACTGCTTATACAAAAAAATTCCCTTCCATTTTGAAAATTCTTTATTTTTTTTCCAAATCAGAACACAAGTGTTAAAGTATTATTTTCCTTCACATAAACAGCTATCCAAACAGACCTAATATATCAATGGTGAAAAATATATACATCTTTCCTATTATCTCACTAATCTAAAATTATGCTATATAATCAATATATTTTGTTTGTATTCAACCTGTACATTTTTCTATAACGGCAAATATCACTCCATAAAAATCTGTTCATAGAAAGATAATAAAGCACAAATATCTCATTTAATATGAATCCTCATCAAGGTACTACACTATACTAATAGAAAATAAATCACTTTATGCTAGAGAGTTTTCATAAAACAAACACGGTGGGTTTATGAATCATTTCAAAGCATTGGAAAAGCTTTTCTGAAAAACTGCGGTTAGGCAGTTTTCCAAGTCTAGATAGTGAATATGAAATAGAGGCAAGCATTTAAAAAATGTACATGTACAAATGCAAAGAATTGTTTTTTTTATATAAACAAATTATTAATTGATAACCAATCTCAATCTTTCTGATCTTTAAAAAAAAAGGTTTTATGAATAATTTCTTGAAAATCATCATAATATGATAAACTAGAATCCTTGACAATTAAAATAATTGACAAATTACAATTCTAATGCATGCATAGAATGTCAAAATAAATTACCAGATTGAGAATAAATCTTTGCCATGAAGACGAATTTGCACAAATCAACCAATTAAAACCATTAATACATTATGTACATGAATAAAAATGTAACCAATAAAAAACAACAAACACAAATGTGATCCTTTATTTGCCACTAGGGTTACAATGTAGAACTTTTGGGTAGCAATTAGGGCTCTGGGTTCCTCATTTCCGAGTCCTTTATTATTTAAGTTTGTTTCAGATTTTTACAGAGTGAAATTCTTTGTTGTAAAAATTTGTTTCATTTCAAGTTTTTATAAATGTAGTAGTAGACAATTATAGTTCATCATTGACATCCTAGGTTGGTATTTAATTTGCCACTATGACACGAAAGGATTCAAATGAAGAAAAAGGGCTTGACGTAAGTGTCCGCAGCCATGCTATATTTTTTCTCAGCCATTTTGTCCTTTTACTTGCCAGCAGTGCCAATAGGCATGGTTGCTTGTTTGCCACACATGCCAATTGGCACAAAACAATTGATGGACGAAATGCTTTGTGCAACACAATGTCTTTCCAAAATGGCTAATTTCAGGACTTGATTTGCTTCATGTAACCCCTTTTAACATCGATATAGATTTATCATGCACTAGAAACACAGTTAAATAACCTCAAACCTATAGTACGTCTATTCCATGATATGTACCATGTGGCACAGGAAGATTATTTAATTGGCATATAAGGGTTAATGACACAAAGATGAGCAGTTCAAACTCATTCAGCCTCTACATGGTGGTATTCCATTTCTTTAAGAAAAATTACCCCAAACCAATTTCAAACTAGTCAAAAAATAACATCAACTATAAATGCAGTTCAGCAAATTTCAGTTATAATTGTATTTCAACCTATATGTCTATTGTCTATTGAAAAACTATTGCAAAAATGTATATTGTTCCTACTGAAAGATATATAATGAAAATATAATTTCGATACAAATGACGGTTTCTCAGCCAGATATAACATTTCAGAATATTGCAGCACATTCACAAATAGCGTAAACTCAGTGAGAAGAAGTATAAATTAATGTTGATGCAATCTTAGAAGGAATTTCATATTGTGGAGAACATGGGGCCATTGGTGACACAAGGTTGACTTCCACATAACATTGCTCAGATCCAATATTAAAAATCAACTCATCATATATCAATATACAGACAGAAATTTACACAGATAAAACAAAAAAGTCAACCTCAATAGTATATATTTACATCATCTCTTTAGAAAAAAATAAAATTCTGAATATTGTAATTTCCGGTTCATGTTTGTATCTCATAAGGCTAGAATAAAATATGCAACATTTCCACCGGCCCTTTAACCACTGCGGCAAACGCAGAATGGTAGGCGACAGTAAATGTAGGTAGGGAAATTGATTTCGATAAAACAAGCCGCTATTTAAGGCAGAACAGCGACACAATGTGAAAGCCCAAATTTAACACTTAGAAAGACTTTATTTGATCCATCAACTACTCAATCCTCCACTAGTTGGTTATAATGCGAATGAATCTCCAACATTTTCTTAAAACAAGAATAACATTTCTGTTATAAAATACCAATATTTACAATGTACATTCCAAAAGGACATTCATATTTACTTCCAGTTAAACAATTATTTGAACTTGAATAAAAAATACATGTAGTTCTGGACGGGAATGTATCTGCAGAAGATGTCGCTTCAGTGATTTGATAAGGCTTATACAAAAATACCTCTCACCAGGCATGGAAATCTCATGAAAGACTTTGTATGCTGATTTGATGGAAAACGTTCAAAGATATGTAAAATGCCCAATTTTACCACCAATCTTTCACATTTTATGTTTAAAGTTTTTAAAGGAAAACTTGTCTAAAAAGAGAACTGTAAAAAAATTGTCATGTTATACTTTTGAGCCCGCACGCCCGCAAGCTTGATTAAAGGAAACATTTTTAATACATTAATTGAGCAAAAAATCAAAAAAATTATGAAGATTTGAAAAAAAAAGTTTATGGGTATAAAGGTAAACATTCTGAAAATTAAATTGATCTGGTTTTTCTACCATGTGTGGAAAATAAATGAAGAGGAACTTTCTCCTATAAATGGTCTTATACTTTCACAAGGTTCCTGTGAGAATTGGTTCTGGCTCGTAGAGTCCTTCTTGTCATTTATCTGAAGAAAAAAATCAGAGATGTTGAGTTGTTATTTTTCTTACAAAAATACAATTAAAAATTGAGATACAAATGAATTTGCAACAAGAAAAACAAAAAACACACAACTGTGAAGACTAAAATGTAGATTTATCATAACATAATTAAAGTTTATCAGTACAACTTTCATTTAGGCTTTTCAAAAAGAAAAATTAAAAGCGGTTTGAATTGTTTCATTTTGTATGAATATCAAATTAATGCTCCTTATCAAATGCTTCATTGACATGACAAACAACGAAAATTACAAATTTCCATGAGCAAACATTGTCAAGCAAACTTTACTAGCTTTTAATTTTTTTTTCTTCTAAAGTACATAGCCCTGTACAGATACAGAGAGCACAAGTAATTGAAATGGTACAGCTACATGTACTAAAGAAAATATTGCAACACATAGATAAAGATTTGGATGAACTATTGCAAGGTGAAGCTATGGATATGTTACATATACCGGTATGTGAATAGTGAATAGTAAATTTAATGCATTTGGGGATAGGGTGGTACGAGTAATTCTATTTCACTACATCTCTGCGTGCTCAAAAATAATTTGTATAATTTTGTTTTCCTTCTTCAATTTGACAAAGGGGAAATTTTTTCATAAGCATGCTTCTATAGCCTAGTGATTGTTTGCAAAATTTGTATAGCACCTGAAAAAAGACTATTGAAAATGTGTGCATAATTAGATTCAAAGGCAGCGAGCTTGCTTACATCTCAAAATGTTTTTTTTTACCATGGTCAGTGGCATGTAAAAATATGTAAAAGGCATAATTGTAAAAAAAAAAAAAAAAAAAAAAAAAAAATCACAATTTGATTGCCTAGAGGCAGAACCATATTATTAGGATCTAGAACTCAAACATGCATCCTACTCCCTCAAAGAGGCTACTCAAATTGTCATTCAAATATATGTGATTAAACTTTAAACTCTTTTCCCCTGGGATCAAAACCCCAGAATATGACATTGTTTGGCGTATATGATACTGTATATACTGTATGTGTGACAATAGTTGACTGTGGCAGTGCACTAGCTTGTAAATGCCCCAACAGGGTTAACAATTATGCCTTTTGTATTCACAGTGGTCCTTTTCATGCCACAGTTTGCCACTAGACCTAACAATTTCTGATTTAAACAGAAAAATGCAAAGAAAAATGTTGAACGTTAACAAATAACATTTTTTAAAAAGGAATTACACGTAGGCTTATCTCTCACCGGTGATAGTTTTGATAGTTTGGCTTCTCCCCACTGCACACAGATGTTGGCCAATCAAGAATCATTATTCAAACAGGTTAACCAATCAGGAGTCAGTGTACAAATGGGTTACCCAATCATGTGACAGTGTTCAAACAGGTTAACCAATCAGGAGTCAGTGTTCAAATGGGTTAACCAATCAGGAATCAGGCATCGGTGAAGGGTGGGGAGGGTGCGTTGGATGGCACGGGCATGCATCCAAAGATAAACATGAGTTCAGAGTGCGGTTAGGGTGAAAGAGAGTTTAGAATGAAGGTAGGGAAGGGTTTGAGAAAAAAACACTTTATTAGCACAAATCAATCAATTCTAAATTCTAATTTAGAAAATACACATCTAATTTGTCTATGAGTGAAGAAATGTTGTCTATTTGGCCAGCTTTGACCGAACTAGAGAAGCACAGCATATCTACACATGTAAACTGTAACATTCTTTTTTTATAAAAGTGATTGAGAGAATAATACCTCTCTAACAGTGGTTTGTTCGTGATGAGCCTTTGAATGCAAAAAGTGTATTTTATTTTGGCAAAAGTTAAACAAATCTTTCACCAATTATATTTCCCAACACAATTGTGTTTTTCTGGCACACTCTGCATAATGGTCATACACTACAGGCCAAAAGCGTAAAATGCATATCCTTTTACATTTCTGTACTTGTATGTGAGTTTTATTACGGTATATTTATATAAACTAAATGGGGAATATCATACTAGTGGACTTTCCTCTGATTAGATGTGAAGCAAGACATATATTCAAATCTATGTAAAATCATCATAATAATTTCAAAACAGGGGGGATAGTGAGCACTGAAACCCTAAAAAAAAAAAAAAAAAAAAAAAAAAAAAATTGGGGGGAAAAAATGGCTTCTATTAAACAACATTCCCCCCTTTTGAGTAAGAAAATTGGGAACAAATAGGGAAAAAATCAGGAAAAATCAGGAAAATAAGGGGAAAGTCTGGAAAATCAGGGTAAAATCGGGAAGAAAAAAAAATGGAAAAAAATGGGGTAATCGTCAGGCCTGCAAAAACACCAGTTTCCCTCTGTGAATATAATATGTATCACTGCCAAATATATTCATAGCTTGATGTTGTGTTTTTTCCTCCCTTTTGTTTATACCATACAGTGCATGCTTTATAATAGTTCATTCATCTGTGCATTGAAACCGAGAAGTACCTGTCATACTTTTTACATTTCTATTTAGATCAACACCCACAATGTACATGCACCATAATAACAAGCTAATAAGAAACAAAACAAAAACCCAAGAACCACAGCCACAAATGATATAAGGTAGCTTAAAGGTACTGTAGGACTTTGCAGGAATCATGAATATGTCACGTATGTCCTATCTTTGAAATTCAAACGTTAGCAGTGTCCTAGGATTCAAATTTTGCAAGGAAACCTGTTTACTTTCTAGCCTTCACTGTCAGACACTATTGAGTGACTGATTGACTTTTTTGTTGTTGTAATAACATCCATAAATGAGCTGTAAAGGGTACATGAGCATTTGTCTACATCAATAACCCAGTTCTTGAAATGGCCAAATTTAAATTGATTTAATTAATAAAAGGATTGAATTCCCTAAATTTCAATTCGATAACTAACAGCCGTTATTTTCCCACAAAAAGACATTTCAAGCCCTTCTGTTTTTAGGGAAGTTCTAAATTAGTAATATCTTTTAAATGCCATTGAATTTTAACCTTTTAATTTATTTTGGCCTGCAAATGGGACATGGTACCTTCAACAAATGGCTGAACAACAAAAACAAAACAAAAAAAACCCCAAAAGCTATAACAGTGACAAATGATACAGCTTAACAAATGGCTGAACAAGTGTACCTGATATTCCGATTATGACAAATATATATATACATATCTCACATGTAGGCTATGTATAAAACATTTTGCAGTGGGGTAGGGAAGCGGAAGAGGGGAGGATTTCACATGGCAATGGTTAAATATCCGGACACCTATCCACTGGACAACCACCGCCCGGATAACCACCCCCAGTCAACTACCCCCTAGGACAACTACCCCTAGGCCAACCACCCTCTAGGACGACTACTTCCTGGGACAACTACCCACTAGGGCAACCACCCCCTAGGACAACTATCCCTTAGGACAACTATCCACTAGGGCAACCACCCTCTAGGACGACTACTCCCTGGGACTACTACCCCCTAGACAACTACCCCCCGGACAGCTACCCCCTAGGATAGTTGTCCGGCGTAGTTGTCCTAGAGGATGGTTGCCGTAGGGGGTAGTTATCTGGGGGGTGGTTGTCCGGGCGGTAGTTGTCCAGGGGGTAGTTGTCCTAGGGGTTAGTTGTCCGGGAGGTTGTTTTCCGGGGTGTAGTTGTCCTAGGGGGTGGTTATCCAGGGGGTGGATGTTCAGGGGGTACCAATGGTTTATTTTGATTTTGAAGTGGACATGAGTACGGTAAATCCGAACCCAATAATGATTTCCTTTCAAACTTCCAGCGATCTGTTTCGTTCAGAATAAATGTACTTAACCCTACGTGAACTGGGGGGGGGGGTCGATTTTGACCCCCCCCCCCCCTGTAGAAATTTTGTGACTACTCCAAAACCGCGGCAGATATAAAATTTTCCTTTCATGACTTTTTTCTTTTGAGTCTTACGCATCTTTTAAAACGATATTTTTTTAAATCTGAGGTATAGTTACAAAGTCACATGATCTTTTGTCTTCGCATGTCAGCCCGAAAGTCACTCATTTTTGTGATTTGTGTACAAAACATATGGAAATGTCATATTTCCTAAAAAGAGACAAAACATTGGTTATTTAGTCTTGTTTAAAGTTTAGGTGATTGTTTTGGGGTCAAAATAGTTGAATTGTAGTTAAAAATGTATAAAACAACAAAAACAACAAAAACAATAAAATACATGAGTAAAAAAACAATGAAATACATAAGAAAGTATCAAAACAAGAGATAACATAAGGAATAACCTGGCTCTTCCAATTTTTTCTGTTGTATTATTATTTCAAATGATCTCACAAATACATGTATATGTAGTGAAAAAGAATGCTTAAATATGAATAATGCATACCTGCCAACATTTGAAAATAAGAATTAAGAATATGTAGCAGGGGCAGCGCCTTTGCGGGGGTTAGGGTGCAGCGCCCCGAAAACTGAAGCATTATGGCACAAACGAAATGAAATGCCGGGCTCTGGCTAACCATTAACCCATCTTGCTAGTTGTACAATTGTTACTGACCATTACAAGGGTGTAGATTGGCCTGACAGGGCTTGATAAGTTGCACTCTTTGCTGCCTTGAGTGTTTCTGGGGAATATTCAGAGGAGAAACACTTCTTGCCCCTACTCTGCACTGCCAACTTATGGATGAGTAATGCACCTAATGTTGGTGTCCCTAAACTAGCCCTTTGCTTAGTTTTGTTTTTTTCAACAATTGAAAAGATGCGTTCACAATCACTGTTGCTGTGGAACACTACTAGTATGCATTTCATAACTGAAGTCAGGAGAGCATACTTTGGACAATTTGTTGAGAAGTCTCTTAGCTGTCCAATTTTGTGCCATTTCTCATCAATTCTCCCATCTTCAATATCTATATTGACAATATCTTTGTCAATCTGATAGCTCAAGAATTCAGATTCAACTTTGTCCATTTTGTCAAGGGGAAGCAGGTTGAATCTTTTGATGAAGTACTCAACAGAACTGAACTTCTTGTGAAGCCTTGCTGAAATATCTAGCACTTCTGCATTGAGCAGCAGATCATCATTAAATGCATACTTCTGGATCATGTATGATGAGGAAGCACTCAAAAAGTTCTTAGCAGAAGTGTAGAATGTTGCAACATCTAGTTTGTCTTCATTGTCCTTGAGAAACTGCCTACATTCAAAACCAATATGAATATCCTCATTGTCTTTATGATTGTCTTCATTTGCTAAGTCTAGCTTGGTAATGTCTTCAGCAGCAACAATTGCAGAAGGTTTCACAAATTTTGATAACAGTGATGCTAGCTGATCTAACAGTATTCTGTGTATTCGATGAATATATGGTTCATCACTTTGTAGTACCTGTTGTGGACAAAATAAAAGTGAAATTAAAAGACCAGCATGAAATATAAATGCTTTAACATGAATTATTTATTCTGAATTGAAATGATATGTCAATCATCAAAATTAATCTGAACACAACTAAACCCTTCTCTTTTAATACAATCAATAAGTGTCATTTCTTTTATCTTATCTTTAGAATGATGATGTCCTCAAATTTATGTGTAACTTACTCCTTGTACAGTATAGAACAGGCCTACACTACACGGTGTGTACACTGTGTGTCTGAATATAGGTAATAATTCTCAACTTGAATAATTCAAATGCACATAATGAGATAGATACACTCATAACTGAAATTAAAATTTAATTTCTAAATAGCTTAAAAAGGAAAATCAAGGTACATGCATGTCATGTAAATCTGGTGTCTTCATGAGAAAGATTCATTCTGAAATATTCATAATTACCATTAAGGCACCTGAGATACAATCAGCAACATCAAGATTATACATCTAAATCATCAAAGAAAAAAATGCAAAATGACAATAATATAAAGCATGCAAACAAGATTAGTAAATGGTTATATTAACAGAAACATTTGTGTAGAACTTATGATTTATGAACGTCTTTCAGTGATCTGTCTTGTTACAAAACAATATGTAACGCATGCACACAAAAACAGAATTTTCATCAAATGTACATGGGTATTACTTTTGTTTCAATGTATGCAACAACTTATTTAAATATGAATGAATGATAAACAGGCTGGGGGTGCTACTTGCACAACTCTTAAACTACATGTAGTTAGTTGTAACAAATTTATGAAGTAAAATGAAAATGAGGAAGTAAAATGAAAACGAGGAACAAATTAATGATGATTTTTCATTCACAGGTGTACAGGTACTTAAAGTAGTTAAATTCAGGAAGAATTACTATAAAGTCAAATGATATTTAAGAAATGTAACTTCAAACAAGTACTAATACTGAATGAGTAACTTACAGTATTTGCACCATCGAAAGCTGGCAAGCAAGCCTGCAAAAAAAGTGCTTGAAGCTTGCAATTGGGGTCATTCAGTTGTTGGAAGATACGGGCTGCTTTCCCTTGTAGCGAGTCATTCTGGGAAGATGTCTTGACAGAGGTATCACTGGATACATTTGTTGATGTTTTTGATTTGGAGTGCTTCTCAGCCAACTCCTGTTGTCTGAATAAGTACTGTGTAATATCAAACTGAGTAGTAGTTCTCTTGGATGTACTTGTAGAAGCAGCAGTACTCTTGGATGTACTTGTAGAAGCAGCAGTACTCTTGGATGTACTTGTAGAAGCAGCAGTACTCTTGGATGTACTTGTAGAAGCAGCAGTACTCTTGGATGTACTTGTAGAAGCAGCAGTACTCTTGGATGTACTTGTAGAAGCAGCAGTACTCTTGGATGTACTTGTAGAAGCAGCAGTACTCTTGGATGTACTTGTAGAAGCAGCAGTACTCTTGGATGTACTTGTAGAAGCAGCAGTACTCTTGGATGTACTTGTAGAAGCAGCAGTACTCTTGGATGTACTTGTAGAAGCAGCAGTACTCTTGGATGTACTTGTAGAAGCAGCAGTACTCTTGGATGTACATGTACTTCTAGAAGCAGCAGTACTCTTGGATGTACTTGTAGAAGCAGCAGTACTCTTGGATGTACTTGTAGAAGCAGCAGTACTCTTGGATGTACTTGTAGAAGCAGCAGTACTCTTGGATGTACTTGTAGAAGCAGCAGTACTCTTGGATGTACTTGTAGAAGCAGCAGTACTCTTGGATGTACTTGTAGAAGCAGCAGTTCTCTTGGATGTACTTGTAGAAGCAGCAGTACTCTTGGATGTACTTGTAGAAGCAGCAGTACTCTTGGATGTACTTGTAGAAGCAGCAGTTCTCTTGGATGTACTTGTAGAAGCAGCAGTACTCTTGGATGTACTTGTAGAAGCAGCAGTTCTCTTGGATGTACTTGTAGAAGCAGCAGTACTCTTGGATGTACTTGTAGAAGCAGCAGTACTCTTGGATGTACATGTACTTGTAGAAGCAGCAGTACTCTTGGATGTACTTGTAGAAGCAGCAGTACTCTTGGATGTACTTGTAGAAGCAGCAGTACTCTTGGATGTACTTGTAGAAGCAGCAGTACTCTTGGATGTACTTGTAGAAGCAGCAGTACTCTTGGATGTACTTGTAGAAGCAGCAGTACTCTTGGATGTACTTGTAGAAGCAGCAGTACTCTTGGATGTACTTGTAGAAGCAGCAGTTCTCTTGGATGTACTTGTAGAAGCAGCAGTACTCTTGGATGTACTTGTAGAAGCAGCAGTACTCTTGGATGTACTTGTAGAAGCAGCAGTTCTCTTGGATGTACTTGTAGAAGCAGCAGTACTCTTGGATGTACTTGTAGAAGCAGCAGTTCTCTTGGATGTACTTGTAGAAGCAGCAGTACTCTTGGATGTACTTGCTAAAGCAGGTTGTTTTCGTGCCATGCACATGCTCTCGGCTGAAACAGGCTTGGTGTTCGTCATCTTGACTTTCTTGGCTTGCTTGCCATTAGCAGCTGCAGAGGCCTTCCTCTTTCTGCTCTCGTTAGGTGTAGCCTCATCCTTGAAGAACTCTAGAAGAGGAGACCAATTTTCTAGAAGACGGTCTAGAACTTTTCCCAAAGATAGCCATCTGAGTGAAGTAAATGAATAAAGCAGCGCATACATGTATGTTTAATTGTACCAATGCACATGTCTCTAACATTTAAAGAGATAAAGTTATTTAAGAAACATATCAATAATATCATTTACTTTTTATTTGGATAAGCTTTATTCAAGATTTCTTATCACTATCACTTAACATAATTAACTGGAAGATCAAACTTGAGCAAGTCTGGAATTTGATCGATAAATCCTAACTTGTGCTTTGTAGTTTAGGTTGTAAATATAATTTTCAAAATTGTACCATAGTCCAAGAGTTTTCCCACATGCCAAAAAGTAGTTCTTTTCTTTTAAAGTGTTTAGACATGATAGCAAATTTGAATTAGGCACAATTTTATGATAAACCTCTATTTTCTTCAGTAAATGTGTATCGATTTATGCTTTATATTTTCATTTTTGGTAGAGGGAAGTGTAGGGAGAAGGGAGGGGGGGGGGGGATTGATTATAACTCTACCACTATCAAAATTTTAAGTATGTGACTCACCTGGTAGAGACATGTTTCAGGATTTTCTTTGTAGCAACACCATGTTCCTTCTGCAGCCGAATTATGGCCTGATGACGCAACGAACTCTTATCGATGTAATAGAAGACATCCACAAGCAAGTCATCTAACGGAAACTTCAGTTTCTGACTGCCCTTCTGTGCAGCTAAGTGTATCAAATGGCACGAACATCCCGCGATGAAAATATTGGCATTCTGTTCTTTCGCATACGCTGCCACTCCTTTATGCTTTCCTAGCATTACCGAGGCATTATCAGATGATAAGCTTACACAATTTGTCCACGAGATGTTGTGAGTTTTGAGTTCATGATCTAGTATACCAAAAATGTTTTCGCCTGTCGATCGCTCTGATGATTCTTTCAGTGATAACAGCTGACACAACACTTTTCCCTCCATCTCGTCAAATGTTTTAATTACAAGTGGATAGAGTTTAATTGCCTCCATGTCGGTGCTGGCATCTGTTGCCAGACTGAACCGAGAGTTTTTCATTTGCGATACCAGAGTGTCACGGTCTGCGGCAGCCAGACTCTGCACCACATGCGAAGCTTTTGTTCTTGCACAGTTGTATTGTTTTGCAATTCGTGAATCTGGGAACATTCTCCGAAATAATTGGCCACTGTGATCAGCAGCAGCAAGTGGAATATTGTGCTCAACCAAGAAATCAGTGAACATCACTTCGGCATTAATTACTGAGTAATCCTCTTTTCTGAAAAACGTGTTAATTCGTCCTTCTTTGGGAATGTTTTTGGCCTTCTCTTCTGCTACTTCTTTTTCAATGTGCTTTTTTGAGCGAAGATGTATTGAAATATCACCTGCTCCACCATGTGCAATCTTTAAATCGCATCTACAAACTCTACAAAATGCATAATGCTTGCCTTTATTTGATGAAGAGATGCATGGGAAACGTGATGTATAATCATCCTTGAAACTTTGCAAAAATTTCTTTTTTGCCTTTGATTCAGCCATTTTAAGTTTTCACCGGCATAGATCTATCTAGATCTATAACTAGAATAGAGAAGGGAGGTTAGCGGTGTAGCGATTGTTTGATAATTCCCCATAACAGCTCCGGCAACATTTGACATGCATCGATCACACTATACACAGTACATACCATGTGTACGGTACGCATCGCTGCCCGGGCCCCACTCCACTGGCACTGACTCAGCTCCGGTACCGCGTTGCAGCGGGCGTTCACTCTGTATACCAAAGTCCCAACACACTTCTTCCAAATACTGGATTAGACAATTAAAAAGTCAGTACGGTACGGTAAACTCCATGAATCCATCAAGCAAGCGTATTCCTTGGGATTGGAAGACATTATAACTAATATAAGTAAAACTAACAAACTTTTGCGAGTGTAGTAACCATTCACGATTACACGTCGAACCAAAGCCGCTCGCTCAAGCTCGATCGCACGTGAAGCGTGCATGTACTGTATTCGCTTGTATGCGTGTGTGTGTGTGTGTAAGTATGGAGCGTACATGCCAGGCCAAACGCTACACACACACACATAATGCTGATCTCTACGCTATAGATCAGTGGCACAAATACGCTGCAAAACCATCATTACAAGCCAAATGAGCTTCCGCGGCCATCAACACACACACAGTATACTATACGAGAGCTCTTACACAAATCGCGGCAAATGGTAATACAAGCCCAATTTGGCTTAAATTTCCAAAATGCGGAATCTCCCGCATTTTAAGGTCCTAAAATTCCAGAAATGCGGAATATCCCGGAAAATGCGGGAGGGTTGGCAGGTATGATAATGTATGATTTATGGGCAAAAATGTGAATTTGATGACCTTATTCGCATAAATTACCATAAATATGCAAATGAGTGAATTTTTCAAAAAATTGAAATTACCATAGTATTCTATACACTTCACTTGACATGTATGCAAATTTCGCGGCGATCGGCAGTGAAACAGCCGAGATCTTAGGGGGGGGGGGGGTCAAATTGACCCCCCCCCAGTAAAAAGTTGGTCTGAAATAGCCCAGTTAAAATAGGGTTAAGCTATGTCTCTTTGCCATCATAGATTATTTTAATAGATTGTTGTGCCCCCTCCCCCTAACTTGCCAAAGAAGATTGAACCTAAAGAATGACAACTTTCGAGGTGTATAGTAGTAGATTTGAGAAGACACTATCATTGATCACCTCTCATATATTAAAGGGGATTGGGTATCTTTGCCTCAATTCTATAAACAAAATCCTGTATTTAGCTCATGCTGCAATTATGTATAATCGTTAGGTCAGTTAGGAATCCCATGACTTTTACAAGCCGATCCCCTGTCTGATTATCAAGACATTTATGATTGGCAATCGAAATTTCCTAACGGTTTTTATAACATTACAGTCTATTTGGGAAAAGGAGTATCGTAAAACCGGTCACTCAAAATGTTTTACTTTTTTGAGGCACTTCATGATCTTTTTGAATCACAATTTTTTTAGGGCTTCAATATTACACAATATACATGTACCACAGACACTGATAACACGTAGGGTCATACATCTCAGATTTAATGAGAACAAGGTCATATATCTATTTTATTCAGTGATATACTGAAAAATTTGTCTATTTGTCTTCCCTTATATTTAACTTCGGATAAAAGCAAACGGAAAAGGGAAAAACGGGTGCACAGCAAAATAACAAACACTAAATCAAAATAAACTGTTAGATTAACACATGGTACGCAGGTGCAGTATCACAAGGCAGGTTGCAAAAGCCACACATGCACTGTTAATAAAGCAATCCATGGGTTTAGACTATACATGCGGGACAGGAAAGGGCACACGAAACACTGAGAGTCATGACTTACGCAGCGTACCCGGTCGTGGGGGCCACTTTGTTGCTGTAGGGTTGGAGAGAGGTGTGGGAACTTTAGAAGTCAATACGAGCAAACTAGGTTTGATTTCTCAGATATTACTATTCCAAATACAGAGCAAATAGGCCCGAACTCCACTTCAAATGTTTACCAATCATCAATTAATTGTTTCCTTTTGTTGTTATTTGCTTTCCACTATCAAGCTAAATGAACATCACTTTATTATTCAACTATTTTGTACAGAATTGTTGTTTTTGGATCATATTGGTTGAACAAGATTTTATCTTATTTCATAAGATTACAACTAAAATTACAAGAGTTAATCTTTCTATCTAAATCTTGTTTATCGTCAGCAATCAGTAAAAAGTGTAAATTAGGTTCATGAACTCACCCATAGTGCTGCTGCCTGTAAATTCAAAAAAGAAAAAGAAAGCGAAAATATTTTTAAAGATACATTGTCATATTAAACACAAAATACTGCACAGAATACAGATTATGTTCTCTAGGGGCTAGTTTAGTATCTATAAAAGCTATCTACGATTGAAAGTATTGTTTGCATCACGTTCCGTATCTGTCACAGAACGCACTGAAGAGCAAAAACTGATGGTTTCTAACTTTTTAACATTTATTCGACTTTCACTTTGTGTATAGCCATATGGAATCATTTTAAAAAGACGCTTATCAATTCAAGATAAAATAAACTGAATTTTAAAGAGAAAACTTGAATATTTACTCACCCTTGCATCTCAAAGTCATCATTACTGTTTCACGAGGAACGGAAAAGAAAGAAAGAAAAGATTACTCATTACTGTACAGTCATGTAGTTGCAACTAACACGATAAGAATATCTTCATCATGACAGATGCCGAAAGAGTTTTTAGCCTTGATCGATTTCAAGTACGGATGATGGAAAATACTAATTTTCATACACACACATTTCATTTGTTATTCTTTGTTTTGGTATCGGGAGATAATATCCTGTTTGGTTGTCTTGTCAGTACATGTAGCCTGCATTCTACCCAACTGCCTCCTCTGGTTATTACTGTGAATAGTAAACTAGAAAAATTGTGCCTGAAATTCAGACAGAGAGGATGTAGTACACATTGCACTCAAAGAAAAAGAGAATTTCTGTTCAGGATTTATTAAAGAAAAATAGAATGAATGAAAAAATAAGACAGATTGTGTCAAAATAGATTATTCTGACTATTTGTCAAAATATAATGTTTGTGATAGCGTTTTTATACTACTATTACCACTACTTCTACTACTACTAATACTAACACCACTACCACTACAAACAACACTTCTACTACTACTACTACTACTACTACTACTAATTCTACTTACTTTTTTCTAACCTACATTTTTATTATTATCATTATCTTTATTATTATTATAATTTTCACTATCATTATTATTGTAATCAATATTATCATTGTTATCATTTATTATTAATAAAATTATTATCATTACTACAACTACTACTATTACTACTACTAGCATTACTACTACTATTATAATAATTACCCTCTTTCATTATTATTAATAAAATTATAAAATCATGAATATGAATTGTTAAAGACACAGGTGCAATAATTTCAGTATTAGCTTTTTACTTATTTGTACGTTATGTATTGTATAGCTTTTGATCAATTGTTGTTATTACTATTGTGAAGTTTAATAGATTTTAAAAATGTAAATAATATATAGTGATTGGTTTTAAATGCTACACATGAATACTGTTAAATGTTACCAATACTGTTTGAATGAATGATTGTAACAAATGAAATATAATGTTATGTAATGAAGCTCATGTATACATGTAAACATGCACAATTCAGCATTTTGGCTGCGAGGCATTGTTTTTTAATAAAACCATTATTGAATTGAATTGAATTGAAATTATCATTATTGTTATCATTACTACTATTACTCACTCGCTGTAGCCATCAGAAGTATCCATGGTTCTGAAGTACTTGGCCAGCTTGACACCGAAGATAAGCGCAGGCATGAAGAAGACGATACACCAGCCCAGAGTGAACCATAGACCATTCTGAACAGAGTAGAATTAAACACAAAAATACATGTAAACACTGTTTAAAAAACAATTCCATAGTGAACCAAAAAACAAATTCTGGAAAGAGAAGATTTCAACAAATGAAATTAAAATTGAAAACAAAGAACACTATTTCGAATATAATCCCACAGGTGAACCATAGACCTTTCTGAATAGAGAAGAATTCAACAAATAAATAGATTTTAAAAACAATTAAATTGCATCAAACACAATCAGAAGATGGACAAACATTCTAATAAAGATATCTAAAAGCGTGAAATCTCAAAGTATGATGTCGCTAAATCCATTACTATTGCAATAAACTAATTAGCTTAATATCATAAAATCTATTATCTAAGCATGTTAATAGAATTAGAAGTCATTTACCATGTAAAGAAAAGAAACAGACACATTTTCTTAATTCCACTTTTTTTTTTTTTGCTATCTCCATCCCCAAAGAACCACAGCTCATACTGAAACCTTTTTTTATAGTTATCCATTCAACTACATCTTTAAATATGAAAAAAATAGCTGAAACTTACAAATGAGCGAAGTATTCCAATACAGAGAGTGTTGACTGCTTGATTCCACAAGTTATAAACCGGACGACAACCTCCAATCGTGGTTTCCAGCTACAAAAAGGTATAATGCAAGATTACAATTTTTTTTTGAATTACCAATTCATTTATTTATTCATATACCAACATCAATGAAGGAACATTTATTTGGTAATAAAACCATCAGATTTCAGTATGTTCCAAATGTTTTTTTTTTCATTATTGATGAAACAAAAAACTAAAACTAAGCATAGCTTGACTTTTGGCCGAATGACCACTTCTTCTTCTGAAGAAGGAGGAGGAGCAGGAGGAGAAAGAAAAAGAGAAAGGAAAGGTGGAAGAAGAGAAGGAAGAGGAGAGGAAGAGAAAGAGAAGGAGAAAGGCGGAGGAAGAGGGGAAAAAGAAGAAGAAAAAGAAGAAGAAGAAGAGGAAGAGGAAGAGGAAGAGGAAGAGGAAGAGGAGGAAGAAGAAGAAATACTCTTCGTTACCAGTTTTGCAGATTCTACTTTCACAGATACTGAATGAAGCAAGCAACAACAGAATGGTAAATTTTTAGGTGAAGAATCAAGAACAATCAAGAACAATTAAAAAAAAACTTCTAGATCCTGTCAAATCAGTTATGCAAGGTGACTTGAAAATCAAGGTTGGCTAAGTACATTGTTTTTTTTTACGAGATATTCAATTATTTAACCATGTTGCATTGATTTCTTCACATGTTTCTGACTGTTTGAACAATGCAAACCAGACTTACCTCGTTTGTAGCATAGGTCACAAACTGCTCTGGGTAACCAAGAACTCTGGCACTGTAATCGACGACAGACTGCAAGAAGATAACAAATAAATTATTTATCATAAGTTACACGTAGTAATCTTGAACTATTAATGAGTGATTATTAACTATTGACTACCACTTATTCAACTTTTAATCATTCGTTATTAACTAGTTATTGATTACCAATTATTAATTATTTATCAATTGTGAACTACGAATTATCAATTGATTATTCAAAATTAGTTTTAGTTATTAAACATTGATTACAAATTATCAATCATTATTATTCATTAAAAATGATCAATGATCAATTGGTAGAGCAGTAGTCTAGTAACCGAGGGGTCCCGGGTTCAAAACCAATTCAATGTGCTCATACCCTTTGTTAAGGCATTTAATCCTCATTACCAAGTCCCGCAAGAGGACTTAAAGCCATCGGTCCCCTGGTTGCTTACTAACAAGCATATATATGCTTTCTTAGCAGTCAGATACAACAATTATCAACCAACATACTGTAACCAGGCTCTTTCATGAGCAATGCTCACACATGTTAAGTTGGTTAACCATGTATTCCTCAGATTGTGCACTGTACATGTATGTAACATGTCAACATCAAGGGAGACTTTCAACGGCGCCCTCTGCAGGGGTGATAGTGAGCACTAAAACAATTTTTTTTTTCCCCTCAACCACGCCCCCCTTGAGTAAAAAAAAAAGAGGATTCGGGGGGGAAAAATGACACCTAACAACATTCCCCCCTTTTGAGTAAGAAAATTGGGGAAAAAATAGGGAAGGATAGAGAAAATAAGGAAGAACAAAAGAATTGGGGAAAAAAAAATATAATAATCAGGGAAAAATTGGGAAACCATTTTAAATCGGGTAATATCAGACCTGCCTCTGGCAGCCAGACGATGCTATTCCTTTAAAACAATCTGGTTCTTACCGCTTGAACAACTGTCCCCACGTTGTTATCAATGTAATCTTGAGCCGTCTCTGCATTTGCAATGGTGTCATTCACATTGGTCTGTAGGAAAAAACAAACAAACAGATACATTATAAGAGAGGTATATATATAACTACTTATGCAAACCTTTGAGGCCATTGCAAAGTAGCACATTGTGTTGGTTAGAACAAGAACATTATTATTGTATATTAACATTTTCTCTCAATTGAGAACTGGTGGAGAATTTATAATCAGAGTGTTTGCGTACAAATTGGCAATTCTTAGTTTCATTTTTATTATTTTCATTCAGTGGGTTGTCAATATACATATCATCATCGTCGTCGCCGTCGTCACCGCCGCCGCCACCACCACCATCGTCATCGTCATCGCCATCATCGTCATAAGCATCATCATCATCATCATCATCATGACCATGCTCGACTTCCATACATGAACCCTTTCACGCTTTGCTTGAGAAATAGAACACACAGCGGACTGCCACAGTCTACTTTTAGCACAACGTATTATTCTAGGAGATCAATGAGTAACAGATACAGAATTAACAGTGGATAGATTTATCCCATAGTGCATGTACTTACATCAATAACGTCTGTATATCCTGTCAACGTGACAATCTCCGAAGCTATGTCGGACTGTTGAAGAAAAAAAAAAATGATTTGTTTGTTTATTGATTTGTACATGTATCTTCAAAATAAAAGATTTATCATCACAAGCTGAAAGATGAGTATGAATTTCCTGATTTTGTATTACAATATATTTTTAAATGGTTGGATTAATCCCACTCTTTATATCGTATTTGCTGCTTTTACTTCATTAAGAAAATTCTAAAATGAAAAAAAAAAATCTCATATAATAATGATGATGTATAATTCATTGACAGCAGATACATTTGTTATGATAAAAAGGTATGGGATTTTATTGCAAAGCTTAATAAAAGGCAGTCAGACAAAATTGAAGTTCTAAGTATCTGACAAATGACCATAAGTAGATACATTATTTTGCTATCAACCAGTTGACTGCTGTTTCCTCACATTCCAATAACTTAATACAGGGGGCCATAGTTACGTTCATATGTGTGATCGATCTCATTCCAATAAGAATCAACTAAAAAAAGTTAACAAATTCCTCTTAGCTTAGCTTAGCTTACCGCATCTTGGAGAAGAACGTCCACGATATCATCTTGAAGAGTCTGAAGATCGGCGCTGATATCATTGAGAGCCGTTGCATCTGATGAACTCTATATAAAGATACAAGACAAAATATGAGTTAAGTTCTGTGTAAATTGACAACAGTACAAATCCACTTTATTCATAGAAGCATACTAACTTCCAAGTGTCTTGCTTTTAATTTAAAAGGTTCCATGTCACTATACTGTATTCAAATTATGAGCTTCAAATATTACTATCTACAAAGAGACATTGCAGTTTAAATGTACTCTCAGTAAACAACAAAATGACTTGTTGGCCGGGTAGACTAGTTGACGCAGGTGTATGCTTGCATAGCAAGGGGGCGTATACAGAACCCAAGTCAAAATTGGGTTCCGCATGTGCTGTAATTTGTTACCCTTTTTTTTCTTCATATTCTTTTATTTTCTGTATACTCTTTAATAGGATTGGGTATCTTTGGATTGGGTATCTGAGATTCTACACTAAACCCTTGATTTAGCTAATGCTGCAATCATAATTATAAACCTTTAGGTCAGTCAGGAACCCCGTGACTTTTACAAGCCGATCGCCCATCTGATTATCAAGATATCTATGATTGGAAATCAAAATCTCAAAAACCATTTTCCAAACGTTTTTTTTAACACTACAGTCTAATGGGGAAAACAAGTATGGTAAAACCGGTCACTCAAAGATTTGTCCTTTTTTGAGGCACTTAATGATCATTCTGAAGCGCAATTTTGTTAGCTAGGGCTTCGATATTACACTATATCACAGACACTGATAACAAGTACGGTCCTGCATCTTAGATTTGTAAAACTGGAAACATTGTTAAACAATCATTATGTCTTTAACTGTTAACCTGTAGAATGCCCAGTAAAGTTTGAGATCGATTTTGTACATTCAAGCTTTATACAAATTATTTTGTAGGTGATTGATACATTTTATAAAAGGGGTAGATTAGGTCCACTGATTGCAGAGCGCCATATATCAACCTGCTTATCACATACTATACTTCTGCCACTAGATCGAAGTAAAAGATGGAAGTAAAAGATTTTTGGATGTCCTGTTTTCCTAATCATGTTAATATTCAAATCAGCCAAAGTAGACCTAGGGCCTATCCCGTGTGGCACTTCAAGGACCGGAAAAGATATTAAGAGATAGACTACATAGACTCAAGATCTAATTTTAAAAAGGCAAACCTTTAAATATAACTTTTAGTTTTAGACAATGCGCCTCAAATACACAAGGCAAAGTGCCATACAATTACTGAAATAAGTTTAGAGTAGAACCCTTGACGCTTGACCCTTGACCCTTAACGCTACTTCACTGGAGGGCCTGGCTTCAAGGGAGCGCTTCCACCCAGCATCTAGACCAAGAACTAGATAGTTTATTCCTCAGCACTACATCCTGACTTATGGATCCTGCTGAGTATCGTCGTAGAAGTAGAAGTAGAAGATGAACATATAAACTAAAATTAAGTCAACATGAAATCATTGTCTCATTTTAATGAAATTGCTTTCTCATATTTATTTCATGACTGGCTTGACGTTGCCATCGAGAGTAGGCAAAATATGTCTATTTCCCTGCACAGCTCAGAGGCCTTGGCCCTTTTGCATAAAACTTACCATTGGTGGTAACTTTGCCATCAATGGTAACTACCATGGAAACCTTGATTTTTATTGGCTGTTGAGCCCTGTTACCATGGTAGTTGCCATTGATGTCAAAGTTACCATCAATGGTAAGTTGTATGCCACAGGCCCTGATGTGAATAATATTAAAATGAAAGTGCAAGAGCATCCAAGTATTATTCGAACCAGGCTTTAAACCCCCCTGCCAAAAATAATTACCGAAGTTGCAGCTGCGTCAGTATCAAGAGCTGTGATGAGGGACGATAGACTGTCCACATTGCCATCAGCGTCATAGATCAAGACTTTGGCCAACTGCAGAGGTAATAATAACGATAGTAATAATGATAATGATAATAACAATAATGATGATAATAAAAATACTGATAACAATAATTTGTAATCCATGTTGTTGTAGTACATTGTGACATACACAAATAAGAACGATTGAATAAAAAGATCATCATTGCAGTTGCTAAATTGACAACGCAAAGTGATTATATTTAAACGCTATTTTCATGACCAAATACGCAATTTCATGTAGCCCTTTTTTCATTTAAACATTGGTCCATTTTATTTTATAACACATTTTGTTAATTATGAAAAAGTGTAAAGATACACATGATTGGTGCCATTTTTAGGAGCAAAAGTTCATTCATTCAAACTTTTAGAAACCTCTGAAATCGCTACGGGTTAATGAATATTCAATGAGATAGTAAATGCCCTTTTGAGGCTACCCTACCTCATCAGTAAAGTAAGTCCAATTAATGGTATCTGCAGGCGAGTCTCTGAAGTCAATCAAGGTCTGCCTGGTGTCGTCCGTTAGGATCTCCACTGAGCTGAAGTCTCCAGTCAAATTGGCAAACTGGTCATCCACATTGGGAATTTGCTGTGGGATAATAATAATAATAATAATAATACATTATATTTATAAAGCGCTTAATAAAATACAATGTTTCTAAGCGCAAGAAAAAGAAGAAAGGAAAAGGAAGAAAAAGTGAGAGATACTAAAATAACATGTTGAAGATATTTAATTACAAGTACACGGCAAAGAAGAATAAAGTAATGGATATTGGATAAAAGCAGTTAAGGAGATGATTCACAACAATAACAACATTGAAACTTGTTTTAAAGAAATCTTTTGGCGTGCACCCAGTAGACAAAGATCGCTTGCTTGATCTTATAATGGAAAACGAGTCAGAAAAATTAAAACTTATCAGAGGAAGCCTAATATTCAAAACATTTAACATGTATGTCATGTTATCAAGTTCAGTCATATTTCTAAAAACCAAAATCAGCTCTTGAGCTGTAAGATTGTTTTTTTTTTTAAAGGTAACTCACCGAGGAGATATCAGTAAACTCTGTGATGTTGAAAAGGTTTTCTAGCAGGAAAGCAGTGTAGACAGCCTCATTCTGCTCACAGGCACTGAAAAGAAAAAACAATGAATGAAATTAATTTCAATGATGATGATTTTCAATGCAAAAAAGGGGAAAAGTATTCACCACCACCACCACCATTATTACTATTGCTACCACCAACAACACCGCTAATAATATAATAATTTCCACTACTAATACAGTGTACCACTATAGCTATCATTAGCCTTACCCCTACCATTACCACTACACATATCACTTACAAGACTTCTACGTCTACCGCTACCACTACCACGAATACCCCTACTACTAACCGCTACTACTACTACTACTACTACTAACCCCTACTACTACTAAACTACTACCCCCTACTTCTACTTCTACTACTACCACTACTACCCCTACTACCACCACTAACACTACCACTACTACTACTACCACCACTACCACTACCACTACCACTACCACTACAACTACCACCTCTACTAGTAGTATTACTACCACTATAATTATCATCATTAAAAGAGAAAACCATACTTACTCTAGGAATCCACCAATCTGGAAAGGGACAGAAGGGTCTTGGAAGACCAAATTGCCAAGGTAGTATCCATCTTCCAGGATTCCATCATATTTATCAACCGTCTGTTCATGATAATAACAAGAAAAATGACACACTTTTCAATGTATGTAAACGAGGAGACGAGCTGCCTCAGTGAGTAGGATGTCTGCCTGTTGAACCAAAGATCATGGATTTGAACCCAAACATGGCGGATGACTGAAGCCGCCATCATGTTTTAAAGCTTATCTGCCGTAGTTAACAGGAGGGATTAGACTGCCCTGCAAGGTCACTGGACAGATGGTTATCTCATCAACTCAGCTCTCAGTTAACATAAGAAAAAGAGGATCATGGGGGACCAATGGTCACCGATTAGGCATTGTTTGTTATATAGAGGGCGCAAGTAGCTACAAGTAGTGCAGTGGGCCTTTAACATGCCCCTCCCGTGTCATGAAAAAAATGTATGACTTAGGAGGATCTTTTTTCTTCAGAGGACTAATAATAATAATATAATGTCTACAATATATTTTGAGTAGGGTGGAGGCACTGAGGAGAAAATCGGAAGACTTATCCACCAGGCCATGGCACCTCTTTCTTGTTGGAATAAAAGGTGAAATAGTTTTCAGCATACCAGCCTGAAATTTTTGCACAATCACAAGACACAGAGAGCTGAAATCAGGGTTCTACTTTTCAAGCCACTCACTATTTTTCTCACTCTTTTTTACCACTCTGGTATTCCATAATCTTAAGGGATAACAATACACTCACAATTTTGTCGCTAACAATTCTCAATTTTATCGCCATTATGTAGCCGTTGAAAACAGCAAGTTGTGTGCATCCATTGTTTACATCACATTTCAGTGCTTAGAAAACGGCAACAAAACAGAGAATTTCATGCATTTTGGCCATTTGGTACACTGTGATAATGTTAATCCAAAGAGGACTTGGCAGAACAGAGACATATTATATATCTGCCAACCTTTCACAGCAAACATGAGGAATCTCTCAAGGAGGAACTAGGAAATAATATAGACTATTTTGTATATTTTCAGGCAGAATATTTCAGAAAAAGAGAGGAATCTATGGTTCCAAACAATATCTTGAAGGCCAAATAATAGGATCATTCCTCCAAAATAGCAATACAGTCAAACCTCCTTTAGTGACCACCTGTCTACAAAGACCACAATGCTTGTTTCCCTTGAAAATGGTTTCTCCTTGTAACATGTACTAAAGGAACCTGTCTACAAAGAACACTTTTTGTGTTTCCCTTGGGCGGTCACTGTATAAAGGTTTGACTGTAGTTGGTAGCTATGACAGACATACCTGAGCAAAGAGCTGTCCTGAGACCAGAGGGTCACACACGAGACGGTCAATGGGTCCTCCTATGATGAAGGTCAGTGCAGTTATGAGCATGATGAAGGCTCCGAAGATGAAGACAAAACCAGCTCCACTGAAGGAGGAGAAGAAGAATGATAAAAACAATAAAAGATAATAATAACAATACACGGGCCGGCCGGTTGTGCGTATTATAACTAACAACAAAAAGCCACAAAAGGTATAAGGCGCTAGCTTTTTCAAATTATCGAATATTTGTGGGGCACTACAAATATTAGAAATTGTTATATTTCAGCCGTCTCTGAACCGATTTCGATCAAACAAAGATTTTTTTAATTTTTATTTAAATTGTATGTTCTTTCAAATTTGACACTCAATTTTTAATTATCTCACAAAAAATTATTTTGTGTAGCGCCCTCTGCAACAAAACTCAACTATTCCGTTAAGGAAGACCTGTTGATTCTCTAAAGTCAAGGCCACTCTCGGTGATTGATAACATCCATTATCAGGTTAAATACCAAAATACAGCTTTTAGGACAGGATTATTTTAAAGAGCTAAATTGATCACATGTTGTTCTTCAAATTGGCAACAATTATATTTTCTTTGATTGCTACATTGTCCAAATAACATGTGATGTATCAGGAAACAAAATTGATGTGTGAGGTCGACTGTATTAAAAAGTTTTAAAAATTGCCAATTTTGATCCCCCAAACAATGTGTTACCAATTTAAGGACTTTGAAGCTTCTTTTCCTTTTAAAAATTACTGGCATTCGACAAAACTGGATATAAATATAAATTCCACATCAAGAACTTGAAATCTCCTTGATAATAGAAATGAATGATTGGAATCAACATCTTATGTCTTTTAAAATAACTTTTACAAAATATCTTCATAGATGCTAACGGCTTTCCATAATTGTTAAGTCCAAATTTAAGATAAGTTCAACTTGGGAAACACCCCCCAGGTATAATAGTGTAATGCTTACGCCATCAGGAAGAGTCCACCACAGTTGGAGCATGAGCTGCGGTCTGTCGGTGAGGCCTTCCTGTCATACGAGAAGATTCCGATGAGCAAACCAAGAAGGAACAGGATTACGATGAAGAGAATGAATCCGTAGAATACGTACATCACGTAGGCTCTGAGCAGAGGAAGACAAAACAGAAACAAGATTGAGTTTTGTTAGTTTGTTTTATTCCGCATAAAAAAGACATCATGCATTCAGTAAAACAATAACAAATAAAATTATGAATTACAAGATAAAATAAACAGTTGGATATCCCATATTCAGCGGTATCATTATGATGCCGCTGGTCTTCCATGGGGACCATGTTAGATTTGCAACTGAAAGTGCAGAAATACTCTAGTGTAAGAACGATATGTCACAGGAAATTTGCTTAGCTTTTAACAATGCTGTATCTATATTAACCATAACCAACTTTTTGTAGCAAGACAAAACAAACAAAACAAAACATTGAAAACCCTTTGACTTTCAAGCTTTCAGTTATCTTTTTTGGTTTTGCTGTATAACCATCCAATTCATTTTGAAAGTCAATCAGTTCAAGAAAACATAGAGAGCAATAGTTTCCAATTTCTAACTCCGACCCCCCCCCCCCCCCCCCCCCCCCCCCCCCCCCGTCTCCATACAACACACTTAAGACATCCTCTCTCATAAATGTCTTACTTAGTTTGAAATGAATTATAAAAGCCCATTGTTGCAATCATACTGGTGACAAAGAGGCCAAATTATGACCTTTTTATAATGCTGTTAAGAACCCACTATTTTGGTTACTAAATAATCTCTGTAATCATTATAACATAAAATTGCTTTCCCCTTATTACAGCAAACTCTAGAGCTTCAAACCCTAATTTAACCACAATATAATATATATATATATATATATAGATATAGGAGTTGGAAGGTTATATATATATATATATATATATATATATATATATATATATATATATATATATATATATATATATATATATGCAGCTGCCTTTCTATACCTAGGCTACTGTTTACCACTTAGATACAATGCCGGAGCTATTAAAGGCCTCAAGTCCACTCAAATTTCATATTATGTACAATTCAAATGCTATCCCATGGATTAACCCTATTTTAAAGGTAAAGACCAGTAATGGAAATGCCCCAATTTCAAAAATTGAAATGGAAGCTCTTATTACCAATCATGTGAAAGAATATGTTTTGACTAATACATGATGATGACAATTTTGCCGGGAAACCGCCTACTAATTGATATATTTGGTAAATTAGTTCATCTATTGGTGGGTGAGAGATAAACGCACGTGTGCGTAGTCCCATCTTTCTGTGTACAGTGCTTGTAACTTTACGAAGACTGGGCCAAATTTCTTATCATTTTGATAATTCCAGAACCTTGCAGTACACACCAATACTTATATGCTAGATGATCAACCTTTTCTGATCGATTCCACAACGTTTCTTTCGAAATGCAATCGCATGACCATAACTGGTCTTTATCTTTAACTGACCAGATTTACTGGGGGGGGGGGGGAATCTCAGCCATTTCATAGCCGATCGCAAAAAATTGCATGCATGTCAAGTGAAGTGTATAAAATACTACTGTAATTTATTTTTTTTTGTTGAAAAATTCACTCATTTGCATATTTATGGTAATTTATGCAAACAAGGTCATAAAATTCACATTTTTACCCATAAAAATTATTCATATGTAAGCATTCTTTTTCACTACATTTATTTGTTAGACCATTTCGAATAATAATACGACAAACAAAATTGGAAGAGCCAGGTAATTCCTTATGTTATCATTGTTTGTTTAACTTATGTTTTTTATTTTTGTTGATGTTTTATTTCATTTCTAACTACAATTAAACTATTTTGACCCCAAAACAAACACCTAAACTTTAAACCACACCAAATAACCAATGTTTTATCTCTTTTTAGGAAAAATGATATTTCCATACGTTTTGTACATAAATCACAAAAATGAGCGATTTTCAGGCTGACATGCAAAGACAAAAGGTCACGTGACTTTGTAACTATACATGCGATTTTCAAAAAAATTGTTTTAAAAGATGCGTAAGACTTGAAAGAAAAAAGTCATGAAAGGAAAACTTTTCATCTGCCATGGTTCTGGAGTAGTCGCTCAATTACTACAGGGGGGGGGGGGGGTTAACTGACCTATACTTATCATAGTCCTCAGCGTACGTAGTCAGGTAGTCATTGGCTGTATCATCGAATGGTTCAACTTGTCCAGAGAACTGGGAGAAAGCAACAACAAAGATTGAGAAGTTACAACCTTCCATCAATACAAATTGTAAGGAAGACATTCTTGAGGAAACCGGTCAAAACTCATAGAGAAGGAGGGGGGGGGGGGGCTGAATTTTTTCTTGCTGAAATATCAATTTATCAATTTCTAAACTATGCATGCATGCAAAAATGATGACACCTACTTATGACAATGTTATATGTCATCAAAATATACAAAAATAAGATAAACAAAGTACAAAGAGACCACCTTCCTGCCAGTTGGTTCCTACACATATTGTTACTGTTGTAATAAATAAATCTATCAATCAATCAATTAAATATCGGTTGCTCATTGCCAAATCATGGTAAATTCAGGCTGCCCTGTAAAGAAAAACAAGCCAGCAAATTGGCCATGGCCCACATTTAACATTTCTCCGTGTCTGATTGAGCGCACAGTTTTCTAAACGCATATTTTTGTATGAGATCCCAATTTACTTACGCTCTGCAAGGTATATGTGGTGGTGTTGATGAATTCATTGAGGGTTCCTTCCAGCTCGTCGATGGTAACAATGATATCTGGAAAGAGGAATGATCAAAAAAATGGCAAAGCCTAGAATAAAAGAGCTAGCTCCCAGGAGAAGAAAAGAGGCAAAGAAAACCCATCCATCCATATGCACATCATTTCTTTTAGACTTAAATCTATGATGAGAAAGGAACTACAACATGAAAGCATATAAATGTACTTTAACAGAGTTAAAGAGCCACTCTAACCAAAACGGGCTAAAAATGAAAAAAAGACATGTAGAATAATTTTTGACAATGATTTTTCTTACAAATCATCAATAATTCTGGAATCTAGCTTTAAAAATGACTACTCAGACTGCGCAGAAAAAAGCCCAGTTTCGGTGAAGGTCTACGCATTTGACGTCACTGCAGGTGCGTCTCTGGTGAAAAGGAGGGTGATTTAGGCATTAAAATGTCTTTAAAAAGACAAACTATGATATTAATTGAAGAAAAAAAAAGACATTTATCCGAAAAATAATATGCACTTGATAATCTCAGTACGTTTCTGGCAATTTCATCATTCCTAATTATGAAATTATCAAATCGGACATGCACACAATGACGTCAAATGTGTCATCAAGCCACGTGACCGTATAACCTTTTTTTTAAGGGGGTAGCCAAGCAAGCGTGAGAACTGTGAAAAATGGATGGCTATTTTCATTTTTGGGTCAATTTAGAGGTGTATTTGAAAGGCTATGGTAGTTGGGTTAGAGTGGCCTTTTAACACCCTTCTGGCTCTCTTCAGACAATTTGCAATTTATTAAGAGAAAAATATGTTTGCATACATAATTAGCAACCTGTAACCTTTGACCTTGTGACCCCAAAATCTAATCAATTAATTGGCTCTGCAAGATACATACATGAAACAAGTTTTGCTGGAATCCGTCAATTGGTTCCGTCAATCGGTTCCTACAGATAACGCAATCACTTGAACGGACGGACAACACGAAAATACAATGCCTCTGGCTACTTTTTTGTGGAGACATAAAAATCATTTGTCTTAATCATAATGCATTTAATGTTATCTCCTTACCTGCTACATCAGAGGCTGTTGTATTACGCAAAGTCTCTGGGATGTCCTCAAATGTTTGTGCACCCTGTATTACGTAGGAGAAGAGGAAAAGAGTAATTAAATTATTTTAGTGGCTTTGTTATATTTGCATAAAGACATTCACACAATATAATACATATATATATATTTTTTTTTTTTAAGTACTAATTAAAAACCTGTAAGTGATCAATATACATGTCTAGACGTTGACATAGACTTTAGGCATTGAAGAAAAATCACACATAGCATGATTAACAACATTAGTAACAGATTACAAGGTGATAGACATGCACAAAATTAAAATGCACAAAATTAAAAAGCACTAAGAGAGAGAGAGAGTAAAAGGATACATGGTGTGATAGAGGAAGAAAGACTTTAAGAGGTGGGGAGAGAAGGGAATGAGAAGGGCAAGGGTATACAGTGTGTCCCAGAAAAAAGGAAACTGGATTTCGGGGCAGAAATTTTGTATCATAATTAGTAATTTCCCTGCTGAGATATACAAGTGTAAAAAAGCTCTGTTTCCCCTCTTTCATTTGATGCACTACTCATTATTCATAATTCACTCAAGATTGAATTAAAACGATGGAAAGTGGTGTTTCGAAAACTTCATTTGCGAAATAAAATTGCCTCTTGTTTAGTGCTCATGTCCGTAACCCTGTGACAATGATGGCGCTGTAACAATACTTCCCTGGTTATGGCTGAGTAGACAGAGTAATTAGTGCTCAAGCATATCAGGTACCCATAGAGTACCGAAGCTGTGACATCATAAAAATCTTCTCTTTTTTTTTAGAATTTCTCAATTTTTAGTTCATTTTCTAAAAGAGCATCAAAATTTATGTTCAAAAGTTGAACGGCAATTGAATATGTTATGTATTGGCTAAGATATGACCATTTGAATAAATAGATTTCCTATAGGAACTCAGTGTTATATTGCTCTGGTTCGCAATGTTATGAACCAGAGCAATATAATACTAAGTTCCTATAGGAAATTTTTTTGTTCAGATGGCCATATCTCAGCCAATACTCAACATATTCAATTGATTTTTGACATTAGGACACTATTTTTTTATGCTCTTTCGGAAAATGAAGTTTAAATTTGAGAAATTCTAAAAATAGTTTTTTACATCTGGGTGGAAAGTGGCAATTGCAAGAATGTTAATGCCGGTTGGGATTTGAACCCTCAATTTTGTATTGAAGATCCAGTGAATATACCACTATGCCACGGTACCTCTTTATACATCACATTACCTCTAGTGCTTGTTCGCTGAGATTTCGATTGGACACATCAGTCAGCTCACTAATTGAACTATCCACCAGTACTTGTGGGAAGCTTCCATGACCCTGGGCAGAATGAACAAACAAAAATAAACATCTTTAAAAATAAATATCCTAGAGCAACTATATATATATATATATATGTGAATGCACCAAGGAAAGCCAATTTTCACTAAACTCTGTGTATTCTAATAAAGTGATGACAAAACGTATACTGTAACTCTCACATCAATGTAAAGTCATTGTTTAAAGTGTACATCACTTGTGAGTCTGCATTTGTTCTCCATGTCAAATACCCCCCCCCCCAAAAAAAAAAAAAAAAAAAAAAAAATGGTTTCATTCATGTTAATGTTTTAGATTAAAGATTCATTTCTTTTCCTTTGAACTGAAAGTACATTCAATATTTTTGTGCCAATGTCAAAATTGTGTGCCCAGTTATTAATCGAACAAGACCATTAATTGCTTATTCATAATTCTTTGGGAAAATTTAAAGGTATATATTACTGACTGTATGCATGGTTATGGGGGGGGGGGGGTACTACCCGGTTAGCTAAAACTAACCAAGAATAATATGAAAACTGTAACCTCTTCAGCATTTCGACAATAAAAATTGGGGAAATAACAACACACACATGAATTACATTATACAGTTTTCTCTTTTCTTTCTTCTTCAAATAGAACATAACACCCAGAATAATTTAGGGTCCTAAACTAACACTAACAAAAAAATTATAAAAAAATATTTCTTGTCTCCCTTGAGCGGTCTTTATAATTAGGTTCTATACACTGTACATACCGCGCCAATGTCTATATCCCGATAGTCTGCCTTTAGCTGTACATTTCGCAGGTTAGCTGTTGCTTCAGTGCAGCAGCCACATGAACCACATAGGGTAGACAGAGTGGTCAAGATTGAAGTCAAGTTGGTGTCGAGGGTATCCCGGTTAATCTCCATCGTGGCCTGAAGAGTATCGACTGCTTCCATGGAGGACAGGGTTCCGTCAATGTCTGTGGGGAGGAGGCAAACAGACAAGGTTTGTTTTTAATAATAACAATAATAATATTCCGCTTTTATATAGCGCCCAATACATCGATACAACGATGTGTCTAAGCGCTTTACAGATATATTATTCCAGTCATGATCGGAATCAGGCTTACCCGCACACAATGTACGCACATTCTCCACTCCCTGGGGAGCATTCCGGCCAGTCGCCATTTTACAAGCGCACACTTGCTCATCCGACCAAATTAACTTTTGCATCCTACCGGGTACCCTTTTAACACCTGGGTGGAGAGTGGGAAATGTAGATTAACATCTTGCCAAAGGACATTAGTGCCGGGGCGGGACTCGAACCCCGTACCTTGTGATCTGCAGTAGGGTGACTTATCCACTAGACCACAGCACCTCTGTATCACAGTGATACCAGTTGCTTTTAATCAATGAGCCTGAAAAGAGACCCAAACACGTTGGAGCCTGACAATGTTCAGTAACTTTTATAGCCCGATACAGCCTGATACAGCCTGATCACAGAGGAGTGATGGGGTCTGAGTCAGGGCGGGTTAATTCCAATTCAATACGTATGTCAGAAAGATGCATATTTTTTTTGCTTAGATAAAATACTTCGCCAACTTTAGGTTTTCAGTTGAAGTTTTTGGCTACGTAGTTATCTTTATATCTTATTACCCTTGTAGTCAGTTGATTTGAATGAAAGCTAAAAAATGTTTTGAAAGTTTGAAATGAATCGGACCAATAGTAAGGAAGTTACAAATTTTTGAAATATGAGATCACTATTAAAGTCTATGCGAATCTCAAATTGGTAGTTTGATCAGTGAATCGTGACATAGGACGTGGATAACTCTCCCATTTGCCGTGTACTTTTCTTGTAGGTTCCTACTCCCTTGGGGTGCTACTCAAAATATACTATAGGTAGCATTTTATTATCCTCTAAAAAGAATAGACCCTCCTGAACCATGAATTTTTAAACAAATTAAATTGTAGACATTTTGTATGCCTGTTGGAACAGATGGGAAAGTAGTCCGCCACTACATCACACTGACATTACCGCTTCAGCCAATTTGAAGTGCCCCTACGTATAGTGATTACAACTTTCAAAAATTCAAAACTTTCTTACATTTTAGTCAGATTTAATTGATAGTTTCATCAGTTTGTTTCTTTGATTTTTCTGCTTTCTTTTAAAGTATAGTTGTCTATTTGGGATGGATTTCCCTTTAAAGGTAAAGACCAGTATTGGAAACGCCCCAATTTCAAAAAATGAAATGGAAGCTCTCATTACCAATCATGTGAAAGAATATGTTTTGACTAATACATAATGATAAAAAATTTGCCGGGAAACCGCCTAATAATTCATATATTTGGTAAATTTGTTTCTCTCATGGTCTGTGAGAGATATAGGGTAGTCCCATATACATCTTTCTGTGTATAGTGCTTGTAACTTTACGAAGAATGGGCCAAATTTCTTATCATTTTGATGATTCCAGAACCTTGCAGATGCTAGATGCTAGATGATCAACCTTTTCTGATCGATTCCACAACGTTTCTTTAACAATGCAATCGCATGACCATAACTGGTCTTTACCTTTAAGTTTGATAATGCCCCTCTGGCTCCAAATAGACAATATCAATAAAACCATGGGAATAGACAAAACAGAAACTAGAAATAAATTGATGTAGAGGATTATCACCCTAATCAAACTCTCAGATCAGGAACATACAAATAAAATATACAGCATGCCAATGTCATCAATGAAATATAGTTCCTTCATACTATTCTTTCTAGAGCTATATATAGCACACATGCTTCATGTATTAGAGGAAGGCAAAACAAATAATAAATTTGTTTCAAGTTTTCATCATCCGTTTGTGTGGGCTTTATTCCAAGGATACTTTATATGGCTCATTTAACAATGCAAATATAAAGTTATTCGAATTTGTTTGCTCTAAATCTTGAAGAGATGACCATTGAAATGCATTTTAAAACCATCAGGCATGTTTTTATCCTGTCCTTAACTAACCTATTCTCAATATATTTACAACTCTGTGTTTCATTTCCTTGTGTGGTTATACCTATAGTTATTCTTTCGTTTGTATGCACTTTTGTGTTTGCATAAAAGAGCAGGGTTGTTTATGATCTGATACAATATATACATCCCTATTAAAACAAGCACCTTTTATGTGTAACTAAATCATCAGTAAACAGGCAACATAACAACCACTAGCCAATATGAAATGGTTGAGGAAAAAGATTGGGAAAAACAATTTCATGCATCATAACGATCACATGATAATTAAATATGGTATTTCTATATCAAATGTACATGCAGGTTAACAAAAGTCCTCATATTTATGTACCTCACTATATACCTCTCTATTTGCAGATCTTTGTTATGACCAAACAAAGAGTGGTCCTATGTGATACCTATTCAACCTAAGTTGCTGATGCATGAGTAAATAAACAAAAGAGTCTCCAACTGGTTGCATTATTTGTTACAATACAATAGCTTTTTAGAATGCACGTCCTGTGCAGTGTCATGTGCAGTATATTGCATAGAGGAAAGTGGCACACAGACTATAAACTATTGATTCTCATGTGTTTGAGGGACCTTAAATCCACAAGCCCTGCTTTCAACCAAGGTCACCTCATCTTTCTATTGTAACGTCATATTCTGTTAACTTGTTATATTCATGTCATATGTGTGTCATGACTGTAAGAAAGATAAATAAAACTTGAACTTGAACTTTGTGTCGACTCTTTTGTATGCCTTCATATCTGTTGTCTGAATATCCCTATGCTCGATGTGCCCTTTGATTAATTGCAGTGTCAAATTGAGCCAATGAACAAACAATATCGCGGCAAGATAAATTGACACAGCTTGTCTACCGAATTTTCGAATAGAGTGAAGGCTTACCCCCACTTTGCACAAAATAATTGATGGTCTAATGAACATTTAGGCATTAAGTTATCATAAGAATAATTAGCAGCCGTTAAAGCAAAACATACAGCAAACAAAAAACAAAAACAAAAAATACTACAAAAACCAACAAAACAAAACAAACAAATAACAAACTTGTTTTGCCTATCTCTCTCTAGTTTCCTGGACACGTTTCACAAAGCCTTTTTTCAATGACAAATGACAAAAATCAGTGACATATCTGCTGATATTAAACCAACCAGAAGCAAGGATTTCACTAGGTTATAACAAAAACTGCCATTTGTCAAGTGATGACAATTTTTATGAAATGGGCGGGGCCCAGATGTACATGTATGTACATGAATAGGCCCATAGACTAACTTTAAGGAAACAAGCCATGAGATGTAATACCTACATGCATGTATTTACATGTATGCTACTAGTATAGTATTGTCTGACTTATCTTAATTCATCAATTATTTCAATTACTAAATTTATCTCTTCAATCATCAATCCCACTAATTTCACAACTGATATCACTCGATCATACAGCATGTACATAATGTATGTGTTTGATCAGCTGTGTCAATGTTTTGTCTACTCAATCAATCAACAGCAGTAATTATTATTCCTACAAAAGCATTTTAGAGCAATTTATAAACAAAATATTGATTGAGTCTAGGCGCTTTATCCTTGACCGACTTTAACAAGTTGGGTACAATGAAATATTACCCCAGTTGAAAGATATGTGGCAGGTATACATATCATGAACAATGAGGATGCCTTCAAATATGCAAGGCTAGACGACGGATACGCACACAGATGCATGTCACAATATTTGTTTTTCATCATTGAAAAAATATAAAACAGATTTTTTGTTTTGTTTTATTAAATCATTGCCCATTATACAGTAGAATACAGTGGGTTTTATACAATTGTTTTGACTCTCCCTTTTCTATGAATTGGTGATAATGATTACAATGATTTGCAGAATATTGTTGACATACTTGTACATACAGGAAGCCTTCAAATTTGCAAGGCTAGACAATGGATATGCACACAGATGCACGTCACAATATTTGTTTTTCATTGTTAAACAAATTTGAAATAGATTTTTTTAATTTGATTCAATAATTCATTATCCATTAATAGCCTACAGTACCATTTATTCAACTCTCCCTATTCTATAAATTGGTAAAGATTATGATGTTTTGTAGAATATTTTCTGACATACATGTATCTCGTCCAATATATCCTTGTACAGTCCTAGGGTCCAAGGTCATCCAATAATATTTAAGTAATCTTGATCCCTACATCAATCTGATATTTATGCAGGTTGACAAAAGCTATGTACACCTTCTCACGTCATTAAAGAATTTAATTACCAACAGTTGTATATCAAAGGTAACATACAAAATCAATACTTTGGAGATCTAATACCATGTTTTCTTATCAAACGAGACATGCATTCTAATTCCAAGCAGAAACAATTAAAAAATGACCCCCCCCCCCCCCCCCCCCCCCCCAAAAAAAAAAACCCCACCTTATATAATTAACCTTGGATTCTCTCCTTTCCACAGGCAAACTACAGGAACTGGGTAATGTACACCTGTATTAAGATTTCGGTTTCATTTTAGGTTGCAAAATAGATTTCATATCTACTCCGATGCACGTTCTAACAGCATAACATATTAAATGAGTGGGATATAATCAATCAATCATACACGTATGAAGAATAAATCAATTTAGGACCTTGTGTTTTTTCTAGGAATAATACCACAAAGGATATGCATAATGACAAGGATGAATCATAACTTTGACCTAATGTTTGCAAAACAAAATAATCTAACTATAAAGAACACTATGTAGAGGTGTCGTGGTCGAGTGGATACGTCGCCGGACTGTCAATCGCAAGGTCCGTGGTTCGAGTCCCGCCGCGGCACTAATGTCCTTTGGCAAGACATTGATCTACATTTGCCACACTCGACCCAGGTGATGTAAATGGGTACCTGGCAGGAATTAATTCCTTGAAATGCTGGAGCGCTGTATAAACGGCTGCTAGGCTAAAGCCAGGGTTATAATTAATGTGCCTCAGAATAGAATTATCTAGATAGATGGCGCTATAGAAATGCCTATTATTATTATTATTATTATTATGATAAACCTTTCTGTGCAAATTGATGGCTAGAGACTTCTTTTTTTGGGGGGGGGATTTTTTTCTTTAAAGACACAAAAAAGTGCAACAAAAGCATTGGTGGCAACTAGGCACACTTACTGTGAGTTGATTATAATATAGTGATATGTGAAGTGAACTACGTTAACTTTTGTTTTCATTGACTTATGATTTTTGTTTGCATTATACGGACTCAGGTCTAAATAGCCCTTAAAGGCATCATTTAACAATGTTAAATCTGAGATACACGGCCCTACGTATTATCAGTGTCTGTGATATGGTGTAATATTGAAGCCCTAAAAATATTGTGCTTCAAAATGATCATGAAGTGCCTCAAAAAAGTGACTGGTTTTACCATACCCATTTTGCCCAATAGACTTTAGTGTAATCAAAACCATATTAGGGAAACGGTTTTTGAAATTTTGATTTCCAATCATAAATATCTTGATAATCAGACAGGCGATCGGCTTGTAAAAGTCGGGGTTCCTGACTGACCTAAAGGTTTATAATTATCATTGCAGCATCAGCTAAATCCAGGATTTTGTTTCAGAATCTGAGACAAAGATACCCAATCCCTTTAATGTACTTCGCAGAAAAGAAAAACCACATCAGGATGTGTCTGTTTAAAAACCACTCTGCAATATATGAGGGCAATTCAATATTGACGACGCCTTCTAGATAAACTGATGGTACATGTTTTCTTTCTATTTTATTATTTCCTTCACCCCAAATATCAACCATAAATCTTTTTTAAGTGGCTGGAACAATCCAAAAGATAGATCCTGATGCTGATTAACAGCATTAATATGACACCGTAAAAACATGCAAAGATGACACACCCCGGTTATGCACTGCGTGGATGTCATATAATAAATAATCATTCTACATCACTAATGGGGATGGAAAAGGGGGGATTAACAGATATATCCACGATTGGGGTCTTATTTACTTGGCCCTAAACTACAAAATAAAACTTTGCCCAGGTTATACGATGTACTAAAACAATTATATACTTCTCTTCCTCGGCATACAACTTTAAATCATAAATGCCTCCTAGATGAAATTATTGCACATGTGTTTCAATACTATACAACACTTGTATGGAAAAAAAAGGGAAAAATGGAAATTTATGAAATTTTCTGTACAGAGCAATAGGGAAATGACCTCGCAATATACGTCACAGAATTGCCAATTTGTATTTGATTGATTTAAAATTCAAAATTCATATCTTTCTTTTTTATCCAATTTTGCTGAAACTATTGATCACTGCTTTGTTTGTTTCATATTCCTGCTCTTCACAAAACCAAGGTGGACTTCTCCTTTAAAGTGAAATTCAACTCAATCAAAAATGATTTACTATGCCCTGAAATAGCTATTTTGGTAGATCTCCATGATAGCCTCACCTATATGTAGTCTGCAAGCACAGACCCTAATTTGACACTTTATCAAAAAATCATTGTGCCTTGAGAGAAGCGTCAGGAGCAGCTACAGTGCCTGGCCTATGGTAGTCTTCTAGTGCAGACTCACTTTTACGACTGACCAGGGTTTGTGCTTGCAGACTAACCTATATGTACAATACAACCATGTACCTCTCTCTGACGGGCAAGTTGGAAATAAATGCATGCTCCAACTTTGATCCCTTTGACTTCTTCAGTAAATCACATCTTCAACATATCCTGTTCGTCGTTATCGCTTTCCTTTAATAGAAATAAATCAAGATGACAATCATCCACTTACTGGTCTCCATGTCAATGACTGAATCGATAGCTGGTCCTACATTCGTACGAAGACTCTCACGAACAGGAACGCCAACCAAGTCACCAATACCTGAATGAGATGAAAGAAAAGGTAATGAATCTAATAAAAGCTGGGGCCCTATTTAACTTGGGCATTTGTATTCTGCAACTTACAATGTACACTTTAAATAAGAACACATCTATAAATATAAAAAAATGAACTTTCTGCTCTATGACAATAATCAAGTCATTGTCTTCGAATTTGAAGATGCATTTGTGAAAATACTGTTTAATGTGGAAAAAGGGAAAAAAGAGTAAGACTTAGTAGTCCATTTTGTGTTACAAAAGCGTTAACAAAATTAATTAAAAGCGTTAACAAAATTAATTGTGGTCTTCACTTGTAAAGAGTTCACATTTTATAAAGTGTTACAGCAAGAATAAATGTACATTTGTACCATAAAAGTGGGATTTCATCATCCTTCTTTAAAATTGCTCATTCTCACAATCTGAAAGTAGTGTGTGGAGGAAATGAGCTGCAAAAATATAAGAACATTAGTACATGCACCACTATGGCTAAGTACTGTGTTTACACTTACACCATGGTTTTAAAAAAAGAGATAAAAAAGTGTGAGGGGGGGGGGAGATATTTATACTTTAATTGGTTTTAAAAGCGGGACTCGATCCACTCTAAATGTATAAAAATTATCAAGTATACAGTATTCATGCAGCAGTTATCATACTCACCATTCAAATCGTCCCTGACTTGGTCAAGGGTAAAGGCTAGTTGATCGGTCATCACAAAGTCAATCTCCTAATGGTCAAAACAGATATATCAATGAATGTATTTCTTGTCGTATTTGTGACACCAAACTTGAATTCCCAAGCTGCCAACTTGGGATTCCATTATGACATTTGCATTGAATGTAAGAAGATTTCTGCCAGTTACCAATTAGTAACTTGTCCTGCTTTTTATCAATAATTCTTTTTTTAATTTCCTTCACATTCACAGATATATACTTTTTGGGTTTATAGTGAATCATTGCTTGTAAATCTTTAGTCTAAGAATTATTTTCTCCTGAAACAAAACAAAAAGTGAAGCATGAACATTATAACCAAAATAAGCAATGTATTTTGTTTTCACTAATCGATTCCTACTTCTCTAGATAAAAAGTAAAAAGTTGTATTTTTGAGAGCTTCTTTTCAGCTAATGCAGGCTACTCATACATGTTATCCATGCCATAGTGCCAAAAATTGTTCAAAGGGGTATTTAAAAAACTATTTGGGACAAATTACTTTCAGTCCCCTACTACAGTGTATATTTCTTCTGTACCACATCCATCAATATTTTTAAATGTCAGAACGAAAACAGACCTTTTAAAGTTTACTGATATGCATGAAATTTATAAAAATATTATCCATAATCTTCATCATTCTCAACGAATGAGAAATGAAAATAAATGAATACATACATATAAAAAAATATAAAAAACAACTTTAAATATAACTAACTCACTAACTAACTACAAAATAATTGAATAAATAAATAAATGAAAAAAATAAGTAAGTAAATAAATAAATAAACAAAATTTATAAAAACAATAAATTATTTAAAAATGTAACAGAAAATTGGAATATCTCACATTAAGGGTATTGTTCAGGTAGAGAACAAGATCTTGAACGTTATCGCTGACCCTCGTGGGCAGTGTCTGCGCCTGGCTACCGGTATATCCACTGATACACAGTGCTGTCACAGCACCAGCACTGTGAGAGAGAGGGGGGGGGGGGGTGTAGGAGAGAAGGGTAACAGGTTATTTTCAATTACATAAAAAATATACAGTTCTGTCTCAAAGTCTTTGAGATAGATTATACCTAAAGAGGGTACCTAATTCTGTGTAAAGCAGAAAAAGTAACCATTTTGAGTCTGAAAACATTTTCATTTAACAACACACTAAGAGGTTCAGTACAGTATACAACTTTCAATTTCAAATCAACTGGCCAAATATTAGGATCGGAAACCAGGGTGATTTATTAATAAAGTAAACATAAAATGTCAATATTTTCCGAATTTAAAATAAGGACTTTGGCTTGTACACTGTTCTCTGATATTTGGATAGATGATATCATTACACATAACAATGCACATTGCTCAAAGCACCTCATAAAGTGAGAGAATACAGTGCCTCATCAAAAGTTTTGAATACTCCTTTCCTCAAAATTTGAACCAATTCTCAAATCATAACTCAACATGTACATTCTACTTTCAGCCCTCTGTTTACAGTCTGAAGTGCGCTCATATCAATTCCATGCTTCATTAATTTGGTTGTTTTTCAATTTGGCTGTGGAGGAAGCACTAATTTAGAAGGACAATTGGCAATTGATGCATGAAATCTACTGTGCGGTTTCAATAGGCTTCCTCGATCCCCTTCAAACATGGGCATGTACGTACTGCAAATCTAATGGGAAAGTTCTCCCTGATATTAAGTTGGTTTTCATAGAGGCAGAAAAATGAGAGGGAAAAAAAGACAATGTAAATACTGGAGGTGTTATAATAATATTCCGCTTTTATACAGCGCTTAATACATCGATGATGTCTCTAAGTGCTTTACAAATATATTATTACCCCAGTCATCAGAATTCAAACCATTTGAAATAAAAATACATCTTTACAGCATGTATGGTTTACTTCAATCCAGTACTTGAAAATAATAATGATGTGCTTCTATCTAGTGCATATATCACAAGTGCCTTCCATTCAACCTTGCTTTATTACACGGCACATCTACATTGCACGCTAATTTATTTGAACAATTTTTTTTTTGAGTTTCAACACGACTCAACTATGCTTATAAGTGCAGCTGGCGCATACCATTATTGTGTGACTCTCATCAATAGAGGTATTGATTTAGTCTATACTCCCCGCCTAACGAGTCTGAATAGAATTATTGCATCGGGAAATACGATCAACACTCAACGAGAGTAGACCAAAACCTATGTCCAGAGCTGGAAGGGCGTTAATGTTATGTTTACAGTATATGAGGTAGTGTCCTTTTGACTCCAAACCGAAAAAATCACCTGCTTGAATATGTACAAAAGCTTTGATGGTTGCTAACAACAGATAGAAACCATAACAAGGATTTATAACCATGATTAAATGCTTATGAATTGGCCTGCTATACTGTAAAGTAATCCATCTTTTGTTATTCAGACCTCCTGCATGATGCGTTGATATGAATATTAGAATAACAACATCGTTTTATAGGCCATAACTTTTACATCATGATGGAGATATACATGTATGTACACATCAGATAGAGTCAAGGCATACACTGCATGCTGTAATTACAGATTACTTTTTATTTCTTTATGTGAAAAAAGGAAAACATATGGTGCACACAATGTACTTCATTTGAGGATTTTCTTTCTTCTTCCTCCTCCTCCTCCTCCTCCTCCTTCCCTCCCCCCCCCCTCCTCTCTCTGTTCTCTCTCTTCTCCTCCTCCCCTCTCTCTCTCTCCCTCTCCTCTTCTCTCCTCCTCCTCCCCCCTCTCTCTCTCTCTCCTCTCTCTTCTCCTCCCTCCTCCCCCTCTCTCTCTCTCTCTCTCTTTCCTCCTCCTCCTCCTCCTCCTCCTCCTCCTCCTCCTGCCTCCTCCTCCTGCCCCCTCCTCCTGCCCCCTCCTCCTGCCCCCTCCTCCTCCTGCCCCCTCCTCCTGCCCTCCCCTCCTCTCTCCTCTTCTCCCGTAAGCCTATGACAACTAGAGAATTACGAAAACAATGCGTTAAAGGAAATAGTCTCTGATCCATCCATACTCACAAGATAAAGACAAGTGAAACGAGGAGCAGGATCGAGTAGACCATCACACGGCAGCAGGAGTTGTCCTTCTGGTCCATGTGCATCTTACCACCACAGTTCTTGCAGCAGCACCGGCAGCAGCAGAAGCAGAGGGCTACGATGGGGAAGATCAGGATGAAGAGCACACCGATCACGAAGGCCACCCCAAAGCCCAACAGGTTTTTCTGGTACTGGACAATTAAAAATAAAAGACAATTTAATTTCATTTCATTTTTTTCATTTCATTTATTTCCACTTCTCATAAAAGACAAATAACAATTTACATACAATATCTGATTAACACAACAAAACAAAACAAGAAAATAGCATAACAATATTCAAAGAATTTAGAGCACCTAGAATTAATACTGGAGACTGTGGTGGAGCCAATGGAGGCCATTAACCTATCAAGGGCTGGTCTCTAGGATTAAATTATATAGGTACATGTAGGTACAAAACATAATTAAGTACACAACAACAGGGAAACCTCCAAGTCAATACTAATATCTTGATCAGACAATGTAGGAAATTCATTTGAAACTTGTATGTACAGAAACATCATCATGAAGCAAAAGGGGTTTATGGCCTGGATAATAACTTACTATAAAGAAACTTTGTATAAACTGAAGAAACTAAATATCAGTTGGAAGAGGTCAGTTAATAATAGTGCTGGCCAATCATCACTGTGCGCTCATGATAAGCCCAGCAAAAATGTGGTACTTTTCATTCTCACTGGTTCACTTAAAGGTAAAGACCAGTATGGGAAACGCCCCAATTTAAAAAAAATGAAATGGAAGCTCTTATTACCAATCATGTGAAAGAATATGTTTTGACTAATAAATGATGATAACATTTTTGCCGGGAAACCGTCTACTACATAATTGATATATTTGGTAAATTAGTTTATCTATTTGCCTGTGAGAGATAAACGCACGTGTCGCGACGTGTGCGTAGTCCCATATACATCTTTCTGTGTACAGTGCTTGTAACTTTACGAAGACTGGGCCAAATTTCTTATCATTTTGATGATTCCAGAACCTTGCAGTACACACCAATACTTATTTGCTAGATGATCAACCTTTTCTGATCGATTCCACAACGTTTCTTTCACAATGCAATCGCATGACCCTAACTGGTCTTTATCTTTAATAAATTATATTTTCAAATTTTGTACCAAGTGGAAAATAAAATTAATAAGTGCCAGTTTGAGGAGAAAAATCTGAATCATTTACATGCAGACCATAAGAAAACTCTAAACTGCTACATGTATGGTTTACATGGGTTATAGGGCGCGTTCATGCTTGATTTTGACGGCCAGAATCAGGCATCTGTTACGCGTTTAGTTTAAAACACGGTTGCGTCTTAGCTCACTTTTGTAGAATCACCGAAAAACGGCGATCACGATCGCCGATCGTAAACTCACAAAAAGATGCGTTTACAATTTGTAAACGCGTTTAAATGGGGTCAACGCACTGACCTCTAGTGGGTCTACGTAGCATGCACAGTGAAGGTTTGCGAATCCAGCTGGAAGACCAATTAAGGCCACACACTGAGAATTGCCTGGGGGAGCCAGAGAAGTAAGCATGAACACTACATCGTGGAACTGCGATCACGATGAGCGTTTACGATGAGCGTTTCAGATCGCTCATTCTGCCTTCAAAATTTAAGCATGAACGCAGCCATACATGCATAACCATGGATATCAACTTACTGTTGTAATATTATCTGTTAGTAGAGCAACGTCTACGGATGAAAAGTCCCCTACGACGGTGTTGATCAATTCTGAGAAGAAAGAAAAAAAGAGAAAATAAAATTAAAAACGTTATATTTAATATTGTAAATCATATTTTATTTTAAGTATACAAGTACATTTCACAGTAGAATGTTGTCAAGTTTTCATTCAATATGTGAATGCTGATGAAGTTGACAATTGTAATTGCATGTATTCAGTCAGTGATTATGAGTGAAAGGTCATAACAAAAGATACAATTAAAAAGTGTCTTGTACATGTAGTATACATGTACTGTATACACACTGTAAAAAGAATATTTGAAAAAGAAATAGCCAATTAAGCAAAATGATTAACGGTACCATTAATTAGCAAGAATATTGAAGAGGGTTTTGGCACGCTGATGTAAGCATGTATTATGTTTCATGTCCACTTGAAAAATATGCATATTCACCTGTAAATGTACATCACAGAATGATGTTTCTTTAATGAGGTCTTCTATCCATTTGTTTGTTTGTTTTTTGTTTTTTGCATCATCTCTTGGATTACTTCTGATCCCGTAATTTTAAATGCCTCCTAATATCAAAATGACTATTTTGCATTTATTTTTCTTTATATTGGACCCCCCCCCCCCACCACCTAAAAAATTCACAATGTTTTTCTGTTTTTTTTAATTAAAACAATTATAATTTTGGGTACATTTTGAGTATCTTTCTTGTCCTTGACAATTCGTACATAAATGTTGTTTTGCTGGCTACCTGAAATATAAAATGGCCCAAAACGGGAAATTAGGCTTTCTTATGATTCCTCTATAACTGTACTTATCCTATACTTTCTGAAACTTATATTTTGAAAACATTGCAAAAAAAAAAAATGTAGATGGCTCTAAAAGGAGTTATTACATGTACCTGTACATTGAACATTACATGAACATGTAGATACATGCACACTTCATAAATACATTCATGTACTGTACAGTATCATACTGGTGAGTAAAAAAATTGTTTGAGAATTGTTTTCTATGACATAAATCTCCATTCTCAAACAAACTTGTTCCAAATTAAAAATCTCCACAACAAAATTGTGTACATTCATGTAAACTTCTGTCCACAAAGTCTAGTAGTACATGTATGTAAATGCAATGTTTGAAAGACAGAGAGTATACTGACTCACTGATTAATCAGGAAAAGGATGTTACATAATATAACTTGGGACAATTAACTCATGTAAGAAGAATAGAGTCAAAGAGTGCATGTAATTAATCAATGGATCGATCTGCTCTGGAAGTTTAAGTTCCTGAAGAATGAGTGCAATGAACCGATAAATAGGTGCTCAAAAAGAATTTGAACTTCAGCAGCATAAAGGTAAAATTTGAGGAAGAAAGGGGATATTACAAATAAGGAAAGAGATGAGAAAGAGAACTATTACTACTCCCCCCCCCCTCAAAAAAAGGGGGGGGGTTCTGAAAAAATGCACAATGCACAACATACATTGTTCATGGATCATACTCAAGTCAAACCAAATGGAACCCCCACCCCCCAACAAAAAAACACATCAGTATTTCAAAAATTATATCATTGATTGCTCCACTAGGTTGTTGATAGGTGTGACATACAAAAAATGAAGGGAAACCAACAACCTGCCCTTTGATAAGGCATTAATCCCCATTACCAGGTCCCTCAGAGAGGACCTAAAGCCGTCGGCCGTCTGGTTGCTTACTTACAAGCATTTATGCTTTCTTAGCAGTAAGGTAAAATAACCACCACCACAACCACATATTTTTTAACTGATCTGGAGTATAAAGCATCTCCTACATGTACAAACTCATGATATTCATGACCTTCAAACTAAATGTCTTTTTTTTCTTTCCTGCATGAAATCTTCTATTTGGACTTTCAGAGTCAAAAGAATGGTGGACAAGAAATTCCCCGTAATAAAATATATTGACTTTTCTTAGAACTCACATTCAGGTGTTTGCATTAAAAACAAATTGCATGTTGATTTCCTTCCCCCAGGTGTTATAAAATGTAGTTTATTGTATTGTTATATGGCTTGCTTCCTCAGCCATGATAATGACAAGGATAAAATTAGTATTTACTAAGAGAACTTTTTTATTACACTCATAAATGTAGAAATATAGAAGACTGTGTGATTCCCAAGGAGACTGCAATAAACTACAGGTACATGTATGTGGGAATTTTTTTTTTTTTTTTTTTTTAGGGGGGGGGGGGGGGGGACACAGAGAGGTCTACATTTATCCCTGACCATTTCGATTCTAACTTTTGTAACTACAGTATTTCAACAAAACTGATTATTATTCTTTCAAATTGTAAGGAATATTTACACAAACCACGTCTGTTTTGAGGCAGAAGGGCGTTAATCTGTGTGAAAGTATATATGAGTTATCACCCTTTTGGCTCCAAACAGATATGTGAGAAAGAGTCATTCATTTTTGGTTAATATACATGTACTTACATGTACATATTTCAGACATTTCATATATATTTTAATGGAAATATACAGGTAAATGGATAGAAACTCAAGCACAGGATTGTCTTGCATGGGTTTGCCCTTCACAATGACCAATAATCCTTGATCCATTGTATTTTACTACCGGTAATCAATTTTAAAACAAAATATCCAAGGCTAATTAACCACTATTTTGATTGTTAAAAGGAAGAAGCTTTGGTCAGCCTTGATGGATGTTGCTAGTATACACCACACACGTATACACTGTCTACGCCCATTGAGAAAACGTATGTATAATGTCCACATAGGCCAATGTGTTGATGACCAGATGACTCTTTCATCCATATCGATCAATCAATAAAAAGCACCTTCCATAGTGCAAAAGCCTAGAGGCTAATCAACAACAATTGGATGTGTTATGGCGACCCGAGACCGTAGCTAAATTATAAAGCATGCATCAATGGACATCCTCAAAGATTTACTGCAAACAGTTTTATACTGTCGCTTGCGCTTGGGACTCACATCCATTGTACTGTAGGCCCTACAATGCATTTTTTGATCAGCCCGTTTTATCATTGAAATTGAAACGACTGTTATAATTCCGAGCAACGCCCTAATGGATAGGATAGGTGGTTGCCATTGGTGATCCCTAATAAATTACACTGTATGGTACATGAACATATCTTTTAGTATGATTGCTTTGAAGTCTGTACAATGGATACCGGCTCAGTAATTATCACTAATTATCTTCTATTTTGAATTTATATATAGCTGTATTTTTAACACAAATTTGGGAAAGACCCAAACAAACAAACAAATATTAAGAAGTTACAATAGATGTCTACATGTACATGTAGGTGTTTACTACATGTAGTTAAAGGGTAAAATGCTTGGAACTTTTTATACACTACACCTGTACTGTATCTTGAAACAGGACCTTCCAAAATGAAGAAGAAAAAGACTGCTCTAAAGCGCAAGTACATGTACATGTATATGACAATTTTCAATCACACATTCACCCTAAATATGATTATTGCAAAGTTGGTATACATATGTACAACCCTTGTATGAAACAAATATAGTCCATCATCAATAACTAAAATATGAAAGTTAATGCAATTTTCTTTATATACAGTGCGTCCCAGAAAAAACGAAACCGAGAATTATTGATGTTTTATATCATAACTTTAATAATCACAATTATAATTGACAAATGACACATATTTGGAAAGCTTAGATCCTCCTCTTTCATTTGATGCAACTCATATAATGCATGTTTCCCGCATGAGTGATTAAAATGAATTTGAAGAGAGGAAATCAAAAAGTCATTTGGCGGACGGTATCTGAATTTCAAAGAGAAAAATCACATTTCTAGAAAGTTGAGTTTCTGCCCTTTCCTATGACACCTCAATCACGAAAAATGAGCTAGGAATAACAAAGTTCTGTATGTTTAAAGCAGTGCTTGCATTTCCATAATTTTATCAAACAAATTCGTTTTCACTGGCTGCCTGCCTTAGCAACAAACAGAGTTAACAAACGACCGAAGACGATCGGCCGAAGACGAAAGATTTCATGCATGGCTGATGCATCGAAACGGAGTTAAGTCTTTTGTCACAGCAAATTAATTGCTATGTCATCACGCAACTTGTTGTTGAAATACTTTTTTATGAAATGTTTTTATGACTGAGCGCCCCAGCTACCAGGGAAACCCATTTGCTACCCTGACAACGAGTCATTCCTATACCTCCCAGGAAGGCTTTACGATTGCTGTCAAAGGAACACATGCACATATATATATATATATATATATAGCCTAGGTGATTTGTTTTCTTTCTATCATCAAGTGGTGGTAGGTCTATGCCTTCTCAACTAGTTTATTAGAAGCGCCAAAACAAAAATTTATTGAGGTTGAAGTGCCAACCTGTATGTTTGGTGACTGTGTGGCGAGGGAGCGTAGCGACCGAGCCGATTCCGGGTGGGGTCCAGGGGTCGAAGCCCCCGGAAGCTAGTGGGTTTTAGGGCTTTTTTAAAGGCCCAGATGTGGCATTTCTAACACCTTTTTGTTCCATAAAACATCAATCATAATTTCATATTGATGTGAAATAATTAGTACAATTCCTGGCTAAAATCTACACTTGAAGTTAATTTATATGTAGTAATTTTGGTGCAATAAACACGGAAAATGTCAAATTGAAGTGAAAATCACAAACAAAATGGCTTGCTTACACTTTGGGCTCAACTTTGACTGCAACTTTTTTTATTTTGCTGAGTTTTTTTTATTTTAAAATATAATTTTTTGATTTTTTCTTTCTTTAATTTTTAATTTTAATTTTAGTTTATTTTTATTAGTTTTTTGGAACAGCCGCGCGCCACTCTGACTGACCGCAAGCGCCACGAGTGGCGCGCGCGCCGCCAGTTGAGAAGGCCTGGTCTATGCTATCATTCATGTTTGCTTGTTTGCAGCAGGGGGTAAAATTATTCCACCTGCCTGCTTTAAAGACCAGTATTGGAAACGCCCCAATTTCAAAAAATGAAATGGAAGCTTGTATAACCAATCATGTGAAAGAGTATGTCTTGACTAATA